GACCCAGTTGAAGGAACATCTCTGTGTCTATTCTGTAGATGTGCCTTTCAACTAAATGGTAATCTTAAAGTTAAGAGAGATACAGTGTGTGAATTCCTTATGTATCATGCCTCACAACAATGGAGTGAATATAGCTAATAAGGAATTGTCACTTTTTGGGTATAATGTAAAGTCACATTGAATAGTCTTCTGTTATTAGAGATGAAATCTTTTATGATATATACACTTTTTTAAAAGGTGTATTATTTATTTCAAAGGCAGGGTTCAATTTTCCATCTGCTGTTTCAAATCCAAAGTGGCCACAGTAGCCAGGGCTGGGCCAGACCAGAACCAGGAGATTTTTCTGGGCCTCCTTCATGGGTGCAGGGACCCTAGCAGTTGGGCCAAGTTCTCAGCTTTCCCAGACACAGTAGGGAGCTGGATTGAAAGTGGAGCAGCCAGGACTGAGTTGGCATCCATACAGGATGCCAGGATCGCAAGCAGTGGTTTTATCCCCTGTATCACAATGCCCTGCCCTGTACATATAACTTTAACATAGCTTACTGGGGGTGGGCATTTGGCCTAGTAGTTAAGGACCTCTTGGCAAAGGTGGAGGTTGATGGAGTGCCTGCATCTCCTAGCAGAGTGCTTGGGTTTAAATCCTGGCTGTGGTCCCAACTCTAGCTTCCTGGGAAACAAGAGTGATGGCTCAAGTGCTAGAGTCCTGCCACCCATGTGGGAGACCTGCAGAGGCTTGGTTTCTGATTTTGGCCTAGCCTAGTCTGTTCCACACTGTTGCAGGCATTTGAGGGAGTGAATCAGCAAGTGAAATTTAAAAAAAAAAATAATAAAGTCAGGCAATTAGCAAACACCTGAGTTGGAATGAGAACATGTTAAAAATGATTCCCTGGGTTCGGCAGTGGTAAAGTCAGGTTTCCTGTTCTTTGGTGCTAGGCTGAGATTTGGCAAAAGGTCTCACTTCGAGCCTCCAGAAAATGCCAGAGATCAATGTGGATTGTTCCAGGTAGGTTAATGGTCCACTCAGAAGCTGCCCAGAAGGTGTTTGCCTCAGTGGAGATGTTCCTAAAAACTGCTCATCAATGGGAATGCTGGAGTGGACTTGCCCTCTGGCCAAGGCAGGTGGCAGGTTTTGCTTCAGAGAAGACTGGGAGGAACGAGATGTCAGCAGATGTTTGTAATCCCAGCAGCTTGTAGCTGTGTGGCCTCCTGGCTTTGTTTTTTTAAAAGCAGTGTTCCTGCCATGCAAACAACACTGGACTGTTTTGAGGGGAGATATTTTTAGGGAAGTATTTTTATAGACGCTTTTTCTACTGGACATACATCATTTGTATCCTGCACACGGCAAGAACATTTTCCGCTGCCACCAGTTCAGAACATTCCAGCCGAGAGCTTATTTGAGAAATGTGAGGACTGCTTTCATTAGCGAGAAAACAGAAAAGCATCTCAGCTGAGCTGAGCTAGACTGCGTCCCAGTGCTGCTGGGCACTGCGGTTGGATTTTGAAGGTGGTCCTCTCCTGGTGAACATTCTGGAGGCTTTGTGACTGTCTGACCCACTGGCTCTAACCATTTATCCCGAGGCCTGTAGCAGGCAGCACGCTGGGAAATGACATGTCTGAAGAGGTTGGAATGTTTGAGAGTAGTCAGATGAGGAGGGTATTGTGATAGAAACTAAGCTTGTTGGGGTACAGTCATCTCATGAGTGAAAGAAAATAGACCAAATGCTCCTGCACTAACCTGGACATTGTTGAATAGACCCTCCCCAGGCAGGTCTGGCCGGTTGGGGTTCTCACCATGGTGCCAGGCTGCTAGGGTCCCATCTCCGAGGGTGTGGTCCTTCATGAAGGAAGCAGGTTGCAAGTGTCAGACCACCCACAGCTTGAGCTCTCAGCGTGGAAGCCAGAGAGGGGTAAGTAAGGTGCAGTAGTAGGCTCAGGTGGCGGCATGCATGGTCACAGGTTAGGAGAAAGAAGGGCTCAGAGCTAAAGGGTGGGCAGACTCCTTTGGACACACCAGGCTGTCTGAAATAGCATGCGCTTTGAGCCTTGTGCCAGAGGACTCGAGGGAGGCTGGGCTGCAGCAGGTGAGTGATGGGAGAAACGGGTGCGCCAGGTGAATTTGTGTTGCTCCCAGTGGCAGAAGAAAGCCTAAGGTGTCTGCTACACGCCGAGGGCTGAGAAGAAGGTGTGAATTCCTGCAACAGGCTGCAGGCCATCCCCGTCACCCAAGACCCGCTGTGGATGATGGACATGAGCCCCAGGACTCAATGAAGACTTCTGAACAGTGCCCTCAGTTGGAGTCCAAGCAGTGAAGTCCTACAGCCAGATGGGGAAGCTAGATGGAAGCTGAATCCAAGGAGGGAGCAGCCCCTGCGGCCACGGAGAAGCAAGGTACATGGCATGAGGCCAGGCTGAATGTGTCCAACGTGTGTCCAGGTAGCCGAGGGGCAGACAGGTTTACCTCACGGAATCCCCTGTGTTCTCCAGCTCCGAGAACCAGGGAGCAGTGTGTCTGAGCTTGTAGGAGTCCCTCAGTGCGCCCGGGTGGGTAGTTGGATAACGTCCACCACTATGGGAGTATTTACACTGTGGTGATTGGCAGGTACCATACACCTGATTTCTACACATGCCTCCTTAGACACGAATGCCTCTGGGCCTGGAAAAGAAAGAGAGTGGCCAGAGAGAAACACTGGAGGACAGAGAGGGCCCCCCGTAAAGGTGGGTCAGTGATCCCAGGGACCATGCATCCCGCTTGTCATGTCCATTTGTCTCCCTGCCGCCCCCCACCGCCCGGGCCATTCTGCTCAACTCACCTGGTACCGATAGAGAAATTGCAAAATTAGGGCCTGGGGCACACCCCAGTCACGAGCAGATGAGACCACATGGCTGTGAACATTAACCATTTAGCAGTCCAATGACATGATGCCCACACCATTACATATTTTGAATGTATTCATGCACACTTGTTGAATGTATTTCTCATTAGTGTTCTAATGTCTGATGCTGAATGATTTGGATTCTTCCTTTAGGAACTGTTTCTGGATTTTGTTGTTGTCTTTTATTACTGTTAGATTAACAGATTTTTGTTGCCTTTAAATATTAAAATACCAGGGTATTTGTGGAAGATAAAATTAGACCCATTTTTGGGCAGGTGCTATATGACATAGTGGGTTAAGCCACCACTTGTAACATCTGTATTGCATTTTAAGGTTCCTGGTTCCAACTGAATACCTGACTTCCCATCCAGCCCCTTGCTAGTGCACCTGGGAAGCACTTAACCTTGGAGAACGAGACGGGAGTTCCTGGCACTTGGATTCAGCCTGGCTCAGTGGTGGCCATCTGGGGCTTGAACCACTTGGGCGGGGGAAGATTTTCTGTGTCTATCTTTCAGCCTTTCAATTAAATAACTTTGTGACCCCTGCTTTGGAGCATCCTTTACACCTTGAGAAGCGGGTAGGTGGAGTGGGACAGTTACTAAGCGGCTTTCTGCACAGCGAGGACTAGGTAAATGCGTGTTAGGATAAACACTTGCCTGCTCGCATTGAGTCATGGCCTCTGGAACGAGACCTTGGAGGGAGCGTGGCTGCTGATAGGAGGACTTGTATGTGTATGTTGGAGTATGGACACCCCCAAATGCCTCCTCCGACTTCCCCCAAGACAGAACCATAGTCTTGCCACAGTGGGCACTTGTGAAATGGGTGCTCACTTACTTGTTTTCTTTCTCATTAGAGAAACCCACCTTTTTTCATCAGGTGGTTCCCCAAAATGTTTATCCCGGACCTGTGCCCCCACCCCACCCTGCAGATGAGGGTGGGAATTCTTGCAGGCAGTGGGCTCCTGCTGCAGTAGCAAGGGCCTGGAGGGCTCCCCAGGCTGGTGGACACCTTGTCCACCCCCCACAGCTCACCCCGGACACTGTGGCTTTCCTCCGAGCAAGGTAGGCCTGTCGAGGAAGACGGCTCCCTTTGGCTTAAAACTGACGCCTCAGTTGGGTTTTTTTTCTTCCAGTTGATACATATGACAGGGGTGTTGGTGCCCATGTTTGGGGGACAAGCGCTGGCCACCCCTGTCCCAGAAACTATGGCAGCGCCCGAGGGTTTCAAGCATCTTCCCTGGACGCCATTTTGAACCCCCAGGGCAGGCACCTGGAAGGGAGGTGATCTCCCACCTCCAGGGCACGACTATGGTGGCCGTGGCTCTGAGTCAGGCCTGCTTTGGCTTCAGGCCCGGTTTGGAGGACCTGTGCCCAGCAACCTCGCCCCAGGACCAGCCCCCCCATCACCCCGGGCTGCCAGTTCCTCACGCCTTCCCTCCCCCTTCGGGGCCAGGGTGGGGGTGGCCCCAGGGGCCGCCAGACTGGCGAGGGTCGTCCAAGATCCCAAGGGATGGGGCAGAATGTGGGCAGCGCCGCCGACTGCTCAGATTTCCCTCCTGGCCGAGCCCGGCGAAGTCGCCTACAGTGCGGCCCTCGGGAGTCCGAGGTCTGTCCCCGGAGGCCCGACGGCGCGGGCGCACAGCGAGCCTCGGCCTCCCTCCCAGGCAGCCGCTCTCCCAAGCCTCGGGCCGGCTCGCAGCTGCCCGCCCCGGCCTCCGCGCCCCTTCGGGCTCCCGGCGCCGCGCGGACACCGCGGCTCCGCCGCCGCCACTCCCCCCACATTCCAGAGGCCGCAGCGCCGTCTCCTTCCTCGCATTCCTGCCCCCGCAAAGGAGTCCCTCCGCCGGCCCGTCCCCCCGCGCGCTGCGGCCGCCCAGAGCAGGGGGCGCGGCCGGCGCCTCGGAGCGCACATTCCTCCGCCGCGCGCGCCGCCGGCCGCAGCGCCGACGTCCCCTCGGCTCGCGCGTGGCCCGCGCAGCGACCCCGGCCGGCCACCGGCCCCGCCCCGCCCCGCGCCCAGGGGTCCCGGGGCGGGCTCCGGGCTTCGGGCGGACGATGCGGCGGCGCGGCCGGAGCGGCGGCGGGAAGCGGAGGCGGAGGTGACGCGCTAGGGCCGGCGGGCCGGGCCATGCAGCGCTCCCGGGCGGCCGCGGACGAGGCGGCCTTGCTCCTGGCCGGGCTGGCCCTGCGGGAGTCGGAGCCTGGCGGCGACTCTCCGGGCCGCGGGCGGCGGGGGCCGAGGCCGGGGCTGGGAGACGAGGCGGCGCCGGCGCTGGGCCGCAGAGGAAAGGGCGGCGGCGGCTGCGGCCCCGAGGCTGGCGCGGACAGGGGCCCGCCGCGCGCGGCCGTCCCGGAGCTCAGCGCGCAGCCGGCGAGCAGCCCGCGGGCCAGCCTGGCAGGCTCCGACGGCGGTGGTGGTGGTGGCGGCGGCGGCAGCAGCGCGCGCTCCAGCGGCATCAGCCTGGGCTACGATCAGCGCCACGGTAGCCCGCGCTCTGGCCGCTCGGACCTGCGTCTCGGCCCCGGACCGCCGTCGGGGGGCAGCGCCCGCTCCAGCGTGTCCAGCCTCGGCTCCCGCGGTTCTGCGGGCGCCTATGCCGATCTGCTGTTGCCCAGCGCTTGCCCCGCGCCGGCTCGCTCCCCGGAGCCCGCGGGAACAGCTCCCTTCCTTCTGCCTTCGCTGCCGCTGCCCGCGAGCCGGGAAGGCGGCCCGTGCGCGGCCGAGCGGCGGCTGGAGGCGCTTACCTGGGAGCTGGAGCGGGCGCTGGAAGCGCGCACGGCGCGGGACTACTTCGGTGAGTGAGCTCGGGTGGGCCAGAGGGGCTTGACAAGAACAGGAAGGCTAGGCGGCTGGCATCGGGTCCCCGGCTGTAGAGGTTCACCCTGTCCCCAACTAGAATCTGAGCGAGCCGCCTCTGCCCATTTCTCCTCGGTCCCTGGCACCTGCCTCCGCTCATCTTGCCCAGCGTTGCTGCGAGGTCAGCAGCGATACCTCCTACCCCTGCGCACCTTGGCCCCACAGTGCACAGGCACCCCCTCCCCCGGGGACCATACTGCTCCCGGATTTTGACGGTGGAGCGAGTGAGATGGGACCCAGCGGGCACACGAGGCCACTCTTGCCATGCCAAGCGCCTAAGATATGGGATAATGGAATTTTGGTTCCCGCGCGCATTTGTAAAGCGCCCCAGCCTTCACAGCCCCCACCCCAGCTTTTCCAGTCCAGCTTTGGCCCCTGGCCTCTTTTGGATGACCGTGGGGGGGGTTCCCCCCATCTTCCCTGCTGATAAGCAGCTGGCAGGGCTCCTGGCTCTGGACTTGGGGCAAGTACTTCCCGCGTTTGTGTCTTGGGCGCATTCCATCCTGCCCTGAGCTAATGGGCTCAAGCAGAGGGGTGTAAGGTTGGTCTACTTTTTCCAGGGGGCGGCAGTCCCGGAGCCTGGGTGTGGGGAATGTTTGGGTGTGTGTTGGGGGAGGGGTTTTGGCCTGCTTTTTGGGATGGGGACCTCTCCCATGGTGGCTGTGCGTTTGTGGTTTGCTCAGGCTGGTGGCTGCCGTCAGCGGGGCCTGCGACATGGAGGTAGATAACTTCAGCACCATTGCGTGTCCTGGCAGGCAGGTGCGGAGAGCAGACGCTGGGCTGTGTTCTGAAGGGAGCGCTTTCCAGTGCCGCTGAGCTCTGCCAGGGCACTGTGAGAGCAGCCATGGTGCCCAGGCAGGTGAAGGGAAGGGGCTGATGAGAAGAGACCGTAGTGGAGGTTGTGGTAGAAGAGGAGGAGGAGGTCTGTACGTACCCTTGGAGCCACGAGGGATGTGCGCAGATGGTGAATGAAACTTGGGTGTTTATTTCATTAATATCTGCCCTGTTTATCAGAGTGTGGGCCCTTCTGCTTGGAGGGATGTAATCGTGCTGAGATCAGGCGTCTGAGGTGTAGTCATTTTTGGTTGCTCAGGTACCAGGTGAGGCAATCAGTAGGTGGCCTGAGCTCCCGAGAACCTCCCACTGGGTCGCCCTCCTCTCCAGCTGGCCTGCTGCTGTGCTCATTCCTGTGCCATTCATGATGTCCTGGGAACATACCCCTCCTGGCCCCGGAAACCCCATCTGCATCCCCCGTTCCCAGAGGGGCCACTCCCGGTGTTTGCTTCTGACCCTGGCCTCTTTCCACCTTGGTTGCTATGAGTCTGCAGCAGCTGTCCTGTCCTGGTGCCAGGCTATGGTGGGTTCTGAGGAAGCCATGGAGCTCCCCCAGGCGGATGGGCTATCTGCTCTTGTCTGAGCCTTGGGGAAGAGGGCTTCCCCCTTACTCTCAGCACAGTCTCTCTCCTCGGCCCCCAGCCTTGCATTCTGCCCCACTCAGGGTACCAAGGTCAGCTGGTGCAGCCGTCTCCAGCAACTTCCTCCCTCGAGTCCGCATCCAGCTGACTCCTCTGCCCTCTGAGAGGAGGAGGGCCCTTCTGTCCCGTCTCACTTTGCCCTCACAGTGGCCCTTCTGCTTCTATGGGTATCTTCCATTACAGACACAAGACGAGGCCTGAGCTCCTGGCCCTGGCGTCGCCGGCCTTGGCCTTCCTGCTCAGGCCCTTCCACATGTGTGGTGTCTACTCTCACTGGGCCAGCCCCTGCTCCTGCCCAGGCCGCCAGGAGGCCCCAGCCCTGGGCCCACTCTTGCCCAGGCCACCAGCAGGCCCTAGCCCCGGGCCCACGCTTGCCCAGGCCACCAGGAGGCCCCAGCCCCGGGCCCACGCTTGCCCAGGACACCAGGAGGTCCCAGCCCCGGGCCTGGGGGCCTAGTCCGGACTTGGTGCATCTGCTGTTTGCTGTGGTATAAAGCTGCCTGTGCTGCTGCGTTAGCCCGGGTTCTGCTCATGCAGCATGTTGCTATCATGGTGCTGCAGGCATGTGAGCTGGAGAAAACCCAAACCCAGGCAAGGTGGTAGCTGGCCTTCTTGTACACTCTCCCATCTGATAAGGTTGGGCAACAGTGAAGGTGTGAGAGTAGAGGTATTTCCCCTCTTTGTATTTGATAGGTGGAATGAGGTGGGGGGAGGGGGTTTACCTCCCCCAGTGCCTGTAGGAGCCAGGATTGGGCCAGGCCAAAGCAAGGAGCCTGGGACTCCAGCCCCGTGGGTGGCAGGGCCTCGAGTGCTCCTGCTGTCACCTGGTGCCTCTCAGGGTGTGCACCAGCTGGAAGCTGTCGAAAGTGGGTGGGCTCAGTCCCTGGGCGCTGCACGGGATATGGGTGTCGCACGGGTGCACTTTAGGAAGGTCAGTCTGGCTGCAGGTTGAGGGATGGGACCCTGCGTGGAGGACCCACGGCATCCTGTCTGCAGGAGGAAGGTATGGGAGGGAGGAGGTTGAGGGAGAGGACAGATTTGATGTCCCACGAAGAGCGCTGTACCTGCGGTTTGTGACCCAAGAGACTTTGGGCAAGAGCAGGTTGGAGGGGCCTCTGGCACTCTTTCCAGAGCCTTCCTGGATATGGATCAGTGTCGGAGGGTGAGATCTGACCCCAGCCAAGATCTCGGCACCCAAGCCAGTGAGGGGTAGGGAGAGGGGAGACTGGGCAAAGCCATGCCCACACTTGGAGCCTGGCAGGACAGGGTTTACCTCCACTTCTATGTTAGTAATGAATTTCAGCCCCCTCCTTTTTTTTTTTTTTTTAAGATTTATTGGTTTTTATTAGAAAGATTTACGGAGAGAAGGAGAGACAGAAACATCTTCCATCTGCTGGTTCACTCCCCAAGAGGCTGCAACAGCTAGAGCTGAACTGATCCAAAGCCAGGAGCTTCTTACTGAGTCTCCCACACGGGTGCAGTGTCCCAAGGCTTTGGCCCATCTGCTGCTTTCCAAGGCCACAAGCAGGGAGCTGGATGGGAAGTGGAACAGCCGTGACCTGAACTGGGATATGGGATCTCAGCACTTGCAAGATGAGGATTAACTAGTTGAGCCATCATACTGGTCCTGAATTTCAGCCTTTAGGGTGTTACAACATGTCTGGGTTTCTGTCTCTTTCTGGAGAGATTAGAATCTCTGGCGTGCCTGGGAGCTGTATGCGGAGCCCCCTCCGGCAGCCAGCTCTCTACACCCACATGCTGCGCAGGCCACCCTGACTGTCCTGCTGGGTCTTGAGGGCCTCTGAGCTGTCCTCTCCCACCCCCACTGGGAGGCTCCCATGGTGCGGGGGAGCACCCAGCTGAGCTGTGAGCCAAGGAGCAGCTCCAGAAAACCATATAGGTGGTATTCCAGAAACCAGAGGGGAGGTGTGTAGCTGTGCCCGGGTGCGGGAGGACCGGGCGTCCACACTGAGGAGAGGGTGGGCTGTGCTGGCCCACGGAGAAAGCTGCAGAGGCTTGGCCATGGCTCCAAGCGGAGAAGTCCAGTAGAAAGCAAGAAAGCAGTGGGGAGGGTCATGGTTTGGAGAGCCACCCTGTGAAGGGGACCTGTGACGTTCAGGCTGGCTGCATCTCCGGAAAGGCTAGCCAGGGAATGTCCTAGAACCAGAGTCAGGCCTTGTCATGGTGTTACCAGTCACTCCCCCCTCTCCGCATCTGCTGAGCACCTGTCGCACTCCATATAGGATCCTATACCCCAGGGGTGGGCAGGCCTCCTGGTTAAGTCACCTGCTTCCCCCATCAGAGCCCTTGAGACTGCCCTGGCTCCTCAATGATGCTGTTTCCAAGAGGCAGGACTGTGATGGCTCCTGTAGTTTGGTTCGTGCCACACACATGGGAGAATCTGGATTGAGTTCCTGGCTCCCAGCGCAACCTCGGCAGTATCCGGGGAGTGAGCAGTAGACAGGAGTGCTGGCCCTGTCACATCGAGATTAAAAAAAAAATCAGCATCATCACACACTCTGCTTCGTTTTCACCAGCCTCACTGCTGACTGGAGTGAACATTTGCGTTTGGTCTGTGGCTGCCTTAGGCAGGGACTTCTGGAATGCAGGCCCCTGAGGGCGGGGACCTGGGCACACAGTGGACTGGCCAGCGCCCAGACGGCAGCCGGGTGGCCAATGTTGGTGTCGCTGTTGCCTACACGGAGGCACAAGGGGGTGCAGCCAAGGAAAGGGTGGCTGGCGAGGGCTGGTGACTGCTGCCATGTGCTTGTCGTGCTGTCTGGGCCAGAAGAGATATGGTTTGTGTTCTGAAGAACAGGACTTGAAGAAAGCATTTTCCAGCTGTTTAAGGGCAGGTCACAGATAAAGGGGCTTAGGACAGCTTTCTTTATTATTATATTTTTTAATGTTTATCTATTAGAAAGAATTACAGAGTTGAACACAGCGCAGTAGCTTTTTTAAGAATTACAGAGATGAGAGACAGAGATTCTTGCATCTGGTGCATTCCCTAACTGGCTACAGTGGCTGGAGCTGAGCTGATCTTAAGCCAAGCACTTCTTTGGAGTCTCCCATGTGGGGGCAGGGGCCCATGGCTTTGGGCCGTGTGCTGCTGCTTTTCTAGGCCTGTTAGCAGGGAGCTGGATCAGCAGTGGAGCTGGGACTATAGCTGGTGGGTTAATCCACAGTGTTGGCCCTTTAGAACAGTTTTCTAAGTATGAACATGGGAACACTTTAGAACATTTCAGGAAACATGCAGTTCAAAGGTAAAGTTGGGGTGAGTGTGGGTGCTGCAGGAAAGATACTGGTGGGGATGTGCGTCTGGAAGGAGCTGGGGGAGACCTGGTTCTGCTTCCTGTGAGCCCCCGGAGCAGCAACGGCACAGGTCCTCTGTCCTCTGTTCCCTGCAATGCAAGGCCCAGCTTGAGTCCCCAGCTCCCAGCTTTAGCGTGGCCAGCCCGGCTGCTGTGCGGGCTCTCGGAGAGTGAACCAGCTGAAGCGGATCTCTGTCGATTTGCTTTTCAAAAAAGAAAGTTAAATAGATTTTGGTAAAAATTTCTAAGTCCTCGCCTATTTTTTTCATAATATACCCTTTCTGTTCACTTTTTGAAGAGCCCTCGTGGGCGTGGAGTTGAGCATGTTTGCACCGTAATGAGTTTCCTGTAATCGGCCTAGTGTGATATTGTGTATTCCAATAGCTGATGTACAGTTCCTGTTCCTGCTGACCGTGTCCTCAGCACCCTCAGATACCCAATGACAAACCCAAAGTCACAGGTACCCTGGAGGGAATTTAATGTGCCATCCGGCAGAGGCAGTGCCAGCCCTAGGCATGGCATGTGTGCCTGCCATCTGCAGTCTGTGGTGCTAACCCCTGCCCTCTCCTGCTCCTTCCTTCCTAGGCATCTGTATCAAGTGTGGACTTGGCATCTACGGAGCGCAGCAAGCGTGCCAGGCCATGGGGAGCCTGTACCACACTGACTGCTTCACCTGTGACTCCTGTGGTAGGTGACCACCCCACCACGAGCCCTTGACACACCAGGCATCATAGGCCCAGGCTGGCACGGGGCTTGCTGGTCAGTCTGCCTTTGCAGACTGGGGGCTCCCTTCCTTCTTGGGTCTGACCTGTTTGGGAGACCCTGGAAGCCCTGGAGGAGATCCGCCTTTAACGTGGGTGGGGCCAGCAGGGGGCGCCAGGGAGGTACAGAAAGGTCCCCAGCTGGTCTGCGCTGGGCACTGCTGTCCCTTGGCTCCTTGGTTGGGGATGAGCAGGGGACTTCTGCCAGGTCCATGGGGACCTCTGTTCGGGTACACACAGGGTTGGGATTTCAACTATATTGTAATTTAACCAAGAAAAAGTGAAAAAGTAACCCAAATCCAAAGATTTCAGTAAGTGCACTCTCAATTTTTCTCTTGCTGCTGCAAGCCTGGCCCCCTGGCTCGCATGGGCTGTTGATGGGGAGCGCACACACTGTGCTACCCCGCCCCCATGAGTGACATCTGCCACCAGCTAATTCCTCCTCTCTCAGAGAAGCAGACACTGCCATCTCCTGTGAGATGTCCGTCTGTGTGTCCACCGTCACAGTGCCTGCCCTCCCATGCCAAGGTCTTAGGACCCTAGACCACGTTCATATTCCTGCCACTGTCAGTATTATGACGTGCAGGGTGGGAAGCACGTGAAATCCCACCCCCGTTCTGTCCAGTGCATCACTGGTCCTAAGAGCTTTGCACCCTCGTGCTGCCCAGCTCTGTTCGTTCCCTGAGGGTGCCTCCGTGTCAGGTGGGCCGTCGAGTCCCTGCTGAGCCAGCTGCCCCGGAAGTATTGATGATGGAAATCTCTTTATGGAAATTTGTTGAAGTTTATGTTGAGAATGCATCTCTGGGGAATTTCTCTCTTTTTATTATTATGACTTTTTAATTTGAAAGGCAGAATGACAGGAGGGAGAAGAGGAGCGAGAAAGAGCACAAGGATGCTTTTATCAACTGGTCCACTTTCCAGATAGCCACAATGGCTAGGGCTGGGCCAGGTTAAGGCCAGGAGCTTTTTCCAGGTCTTCCACAAGGGTATAGGGGCTGTCTGCTCCCTTCCCAGGCCATCAGCAGGGAGCTGAATTAGAGGTAGAGAAACTGGGTCTTGAACCAGAACCCACATGGAATGTTGGCACCACAGGCAGTGGCTTAACTCACTGCACCACAGCACCGGCCCCTTCCTGGTCTTTGTTCTTAAACACTCTAGAAACTTCTGTCTTGCATTGCCCATCCTGCCTGCCCAACCTGTAGGTTAGTGCTGCCTGTTCTAGAATATTCTAAATGGGTTCATGGAGTCTGTGCTCCATGATGCTGGCTCGTTTTCCTGCTGTGTTGCTGCAAGCATCAGCAGTTAGCTCCTTGCTCTTGTGGACTTGAGGCGCATCAGATGGACGCGCCACCATCTGCTTGTCCACTTGCATGTGCCGGTTGGTGGCTGGACCCGAGAGGGAGCTGCGAGCATTCTGGCAGAGTTCATTTTGTGGACGTGTGTTTTCATTTCTCTTGAGTAAATTCCAAGGAGTGGAATTTCTGGGTCATAGGGTAAGTGTATGTTTAACTTTATAAGAAACTGCCAGACTCTTATCCAAAGGGGGGTGTGCCATTTTACGTTCCCAATGGGAATGTGAGAAGGTTGGGTTATCCTACATGTTTCCCAACGATTCGTATTTTAGTCTCTTTAATTTTAGCCGCTGTGATGGCTGAACAGGGTCTCGTGGTTTTCGTCAGCTTTTCCCTGGTGGCTCGGGAGGACACTTGTGTTTGCTCCTTAACCCTGTGTACTCATGTATCTTTTGTCTAGTCAAATCCAGGCTTTCTTCCATTTTTAAAATTGAGGGTCACCTTTTAATTATTGAGGTTCGGAAGCCAAACTATAGCCCCATATACATGTGTGATTTTTCACAACATGCATTTTCCACAAACCTTTTGAAGTACCCTCATGTGTTTCCAGTTCAACAAATTCTTTGTCAAGGGGCACGGTGGGTTAATCCTCTGCCTTTCGCATCAGCATCCCATATGGGCGCCAGTTCACATCCTGGCTGCTCTACTTCCTGTCCAGTTTCTTGCTAATGCCTGGGAAAGCAGCAAAGCATGGCCCAAGTCCTTGGATCCTGCACCCATGTGGAAGACCTAGAAAAAGCTCCTGGTTCCTGGCTTTGGATCAGCCCAGCTCCGGCCATTGCAGCCATTTGGGGAGAGAACCAGCAGACAGAAGATCTCTCTCTCTCTGTCTCTGTAACTCTGTCTTTCCAATAAAAATAAATCTTTTTTTTTTTTTTTTTTTTTTTTTTAAAGATTTATTTTTATTATTTTTTATTGGAAAGGCGGATATACAGAGAGGAGAGACAGAGAGGAAGATCTTCCATCCGATGATTCACTCCCCAAGTGAGCCGCAACGGGTCGATACTATGCCGATCCGAAGCCAGGAGCCTCTTCCGGGTCTCCCACGCGGGTGCAGGGTCCCAAAGCTTTGGGCCGTCCTCGACTGCTTTCCCAGGCCACAAGCAGGGAGCTGGAAGGGAAGCGGGGCTGCCGGGATTAGAACCGGCGCCCATATGGGATCCCGGGCGTGTTAGGCGAGGACTTAACCACTTGCGCCACCGCGCCAGGCCCAATAAAAATAAATCTTAACAACAACAACAGATCTCTCAGGTCTGTGTCCTGTGAACGTGTCCCCTGGTGTGGCTTTTGAAGTATTTCTCACGGTACCTTCTGATGGGAAAGCCTAGTGACGAGGCTCAGTGTGTCCTTGTCTTCACAGTCACTGCTTTCTGTGACTTAGCACGAGCTTTCATCTTCCCCGAGCCCCGTCGCTTGTCTCCTGCGTTTCCTTCTAGAAGCTTTAGATTTCAGCCTTTATATTTGGTAATCCCTTTTATACTAGTTTTTGTGAGGGAAGGAGTTTTCTTCCCCCAAAGTAAATTCTGTTCCCGCCTGCATCCTGAGATGACAGCTTCCTTGCAAGTCATGGCCAGGGGTCTCTTTTCTTTCTTTTTTAAAAGTATTTATTTATTTTTATTGGAAAGGCAGATATGAGAGAGGAGGAGAGACAGGAAGATCCTTTATCTGTTGATTCACTCCCCAAGTGACCACAACGGGCCAGAACTGAACCGATCTGAAGCCTGTTCTGATTCTCCCACTTGGGTGCAGGGTCCCAAGGCTTTGGGCTGTCCTCGACTGCTTTCCCAGGCCACAAGCAGGGAGCTGGGTGGCAAATGGAGCTTCCGGGATTAGAACTGGTGCCCATATGGGATCCTGGTATGTGCTAGGCAAGGACTTCAGCCACTAGGCTACCACGCCGGGCCCAGGGGTCTCTCTCTGTGCTCGGCCCCGTCACATTGGTCTTCGACCTCTTCTTACCCTCCAGCATTGCCCTGTCTTGCTTGTTCTTAAGTCCACAAAGTACACAGTGTCATCTACCAGCCTTGCTGATCTTTATGTTGCTATTGGTTATTCTGGATGCTTTGCATTATATATATAATTGATTTGAAAGGGAGAGTTAGAGAGAGGGAGAGCTAGAGCAAGAGATTTTCCATCTGCGGGTTCACTCCCCCAAATGGCCACAATGGCCAGGGCTGGGCCAGCCTGAAGTCAGGAGTCAGGAGCTTCATCCGGGTCTCCCACATGGGTGCAGGGGCCCGAGCACTTGGCCTGTCCTCTGCTGCTTTCCCAGGCACAGGAAGGGAACTGGATGGGAAGTGGAGCAGCTGGTACTGAAGCAGCACTCAGCTATTTCCATTTGATAAGCAGCTCTTCATGTGCGTGCCTTGATATCTGCTGCCCAAGCTCCTAGCTCGCTAGGCAGAAGATTCTGTCTCATTGCCTTCTGAAATATATATTGTTACTTTAAATGCCTCACCCACCTCTCTGCCAGGGAGGGCAGAAGCCAGGCTTTTTTTTTTCCTGCCTTGCAGGGAGACGGCTCCGCGGGAAGGCCTTCTACAACGTAGGGGACAAAGTGTACTGCCAGGAGGACTTCCTGGTGAGTCTGCGCCCCTGCCCGCGGGAGTGGCCCGGGCACCCTCCTCCCGACTCGCCATGAAGGCTGAGACCAGGAGGCAGGTGCCAGTGGGGCAGGCAGCACCCCCTTGGTCACACACCACCGTGTCCCCTCCCAGTACTCCGGCTTCCAGCAGACAGCTGACAAGTGCAGCGTGTGTGGACACCTCATCATGGAGATGGTGAGCTCCTCCCTGCCTCCTGGCCCTCACTGCTGGGGGGTGACACAGCCGCCCTCCAGGGCTGACCCTCAGGGGCCTCCACCCCCAGATCCTGCAGGCGCTTGGCAAGTCCTACCACCCGGGCTGCTTCAGGTGCTCTGTGTGCAACGAGTGCCTGGATGGGGTGCCCTTCACCGTGGACGTGCAGAACAATATCTACTGTGTCAGAGACTATCACACGTGAGTGGCCGCGGCCTCTGGGACTGGCGCCCGTGCCCTCTATCGTGGCTGTTGGCCCCTTCCCCTCCTGCTTGGGGCAGGGTGGAGCTCTCTGCCTGGAGCACCCCCTCCCACAACCCTCCCCCAAGGGGCTTCAGCCCCAGCATCTTCTGCCCTGCGGCCCCCTGCTTTTGCCTGCCTGCCGCCCTCCTCTTCATGGTGGGCACTTGCGGCCTACCCTGTCCTACCTGGCCCTCTCAGCCCGTCACTTCTAGTTTCCTTTGTTCCTGCAGGGTTTTTGCACCGAAATGTGCCTCTTGTGCCCGTCCTATCCTCCCTGCACAGGTAGGAACCAGCCCTGGGCAGAGCCCATGGGAACAAGTGGCCCTGGTGGCATGGGGAAATGGGGGCTCCTGCTGCCTGGCTCGAAGCAAGGCCTGGCTGAGGTCGCTGGAGTCTCAAGAAGTGCAGCTAACACACATGCGCCCATGGGCTCCGTGCTGCCCTTAGAGGCGTGTATGAGCATCCATACTCTGTGCCTCCCAACACCGTTCCAGGACTCCCAGGGCTCCTAGGGGTGTGAATGTGCGGTTCTCTCAAGTCAGCCCGTGGGCTGGCACCTGTGACCCGTGTCTCCCTGCAGGGCTGTGAGACGACCATCCGTGTGGTGTCCATGGACAGGGACTATCACGTGGAGTGTTACCACTGTGAGGTGAGCCCCGGGAGCCTGCCGGGACTGCTGACCCTCCTCCCCTTCCCTCCTCACTCCCCTTCCTTTCCCAAAGGGACCTCTCTCCTCTCAGCCCTTACTCCAGTACCAACTCTCCCATACAGGAAGCACTGGGGAACTGAGTCCCCACAGTTAGGGACGGAGTGGCCACTGGGTGCTGCCTGCCCTCAACTGGGGTTGAAAGAGTGCATAGGGCATGTAGGGAGCCTGGGACATCAAGGGAGGCTCTCTGGAGGAGGTGACAGTGAAGTGAAGATGTTGAATCCTGGGGAGGCAGAAGGAAGAGCCTTCCTGGGCCGAGAAGCAGGTCCAGGTGCCAGGGGTGGGACATGCAGCTTTGTGTCCCTGGCAGGGTTGGCAGGACACATCTGGGTCGGAGTGTTCTGTGGAGACTGTGCTGATGGAACCAAGGGCACATGGTCCCTGCCCTCTGGCGCTGGGCACCAGGCACTGGGCCTCCCAGGCTCTGTAGGTCCCACTGGGCTCCGCTGGGCAGCCTGGTAAACCCCTCCAGATAGAAAACGGAGTATGCCTTCTCTCAAAGATTTTTTTGGAAAGATTTATTTATCTGTGTATCTGAAAAGAAAAAGACAGAAAGAAAAATCTTCCATCTGCTGGTTCAATCCCCATGTGGGTGCAGGAGCCAGAAGTTTCTTCCAGGTCTCCCACATGGGTGCAGGGGCCCAGGCACTTAGACCATCTCTCACCAGCTTCCCATTAGCTGGGAGCTGGATCTGAAAGGGAGCAGCTGGAATTTGAGGTGGTGGGTAGACCTGGGTTGCCAGGCTGTATCCGCAGAGATTACTGACCCGCCTTGGTTCCATCCCGGGGCTGACTGTTGCGTTCAGCCCATGTGCTTGTTGCTGAAGGTGGGAAGAGGGGTGTGAGTCCTGCCACTGCTGTGATGGGAGCTCCACGAGGGGTGTGCAGAGGACAGACAGAAGGATCTGGGTCAGTGAAGGAGGTCCTCCAGGGAGCAAGCTGTGGGCTGGAGGGCCTGGCGGGGCAAGGGTCTGGGTTTTCAGGGGACACAGGGAGGCTGAGAAGTGATCAGGAAAAGCAACAGACAATGCTGGGTGCTGGAGTGGGGACCCTTGAGACTGCCTGGGTCTTGGGGAGAGGAAGGGGTGAGGCAGCAGGTGTGGGAGGAGCCTCCCTTTGGGCGGCAGTGGCCTCAGTGTCCAGGGACTGTGGTGGCCCCTCAGGGAGGCCAGGCACACTCCCTGCATGGGAGCTGGGGTCTCCAGGCCACCTCGCCCCACCTCTGTGTGGCAGGCACAGCTACAGGGTGCTGTCAGAGGCCCAGGACCTTGCAGCAGCCCGGCTCTGTGTGTGTGCAACCTGGGGCAGCTGTGGGTCATGAGAGTGAAGCTGCCTGGTATAGAGCCCCCGTGCCATGGTGGTGCTGACCTCAGAGTAGCCAAGCTCCTTGGCTGGTCCTGAGGCCACTTAGGTCCAGCATCCCTGCCTGCATGTTCTCTTGTGAGCCTAGCAAGTATTTCTTGGGCACTGACCAAAGAACTCCCATCTGGTGTGCTCCCCTCCATTGTGCCCCCCCACATCATGTTGGGACCTTCTGCTCCCTAGGGAACGGGGAGCAGTTGCTTTGGCTGCTTTCCTGCCTGGCCCCCTGCAGACACCAGCCCAGTGTATGCCCCAGGGCCCTGCTTCCTTCCTTGAGTGGGCAACCCTTGCTGTCATCATCCCTCGCCGTATCCAGGGACCTATGAGAATCCAGCCCCCAACATCCATGTGCCCTGATTGGTCCTGTCTGGCTTGCAGATGCCAGCTCACTGTATGTCATTGACCCATTTCTTGGGGAGTGGGCGACTCCTGCCATTGTCTCTCACTGTACCCAGGACTTGTGAGTGCCCAGTCCTGGCGCCCACATGCCCGGATAAGTTGGCCTGGCCCTGGCGCTCACGTGCCCAGGTTGGTCTGCCCATGTCTCACCCAGAACCTCTTGGCTGTGTTCTCGCCTAGGACTGCGGGCTGCAGCTGAGTGGGGAAGATGGACGCCGCTGCTACCCCCTGGAGGGCCACCTGCTGTGCCGCCGCTGCCATCTGCGGCGCCTCCGGCCTGGCCCACTGCCCTCACCTGCCGTGCACGTCACTCAGCTCTGAGCACCCGTGGCTGTGGAGGGTGGGCTGGACAGGGTGGGGGGGCCCATATCAAAGTTAGGGCAGGCCTGGCTGCCTCCACCCTGCGCTGCCCACCCCCTGCTGCCCTGCCCCTAGCTGCTGTCCCATCCGCAGGGGCCGGTCCCCCGCGCTGAAGCTATGCCTATTTATTCACCATTTGTGCCTCCTCAAGTTGCTTCCTCCTGGGCCCTGCTGTCTCCCCCACCCCATCACTGACTCTCCTTTCTGAGACCCCCACCCCTGCTGCACCCCCTGCAGCTATGGGGGTGGTACCACTGCCTCGGCCTGGCCCCCAGCTTTCCCTGCTCAGCAGGAGCCTGGGACCCTGGATGGGGGTGGCCTGGAAGGCAGGGTTGGCGTGCGGCACGTGTGTGTGCACGTGTGATGTCGACTGGCTGTTGTGCCGTGTTTGGGTGGGGTCACAGGAGGGAGTGGGGTGGCTGCTGGGGGGTCCTGATGTGTATCTACAGCCGAGGCTCCTGCCCCTGCCTCCCCTGGTCTGGAACTGTGCCTCCCCAGTCGCCCACAAAATTCCTGCACGCACCAGGTGCCGGGCTCCACGACGAAAGGATAGGATTTGACTTAAATTAAGTTTTTTCCTCTGAGGAGATTTTCATCTTCTTTACAAGAATATAGTTTTCTTCTAAGAACTTGGCTAGGGTTGTCGTTTCTTTAAGAAAACCACGGTCACGTCGCAGGGGTCCAGTCTGCATCTCCCAGCTGTTGTGCTGGCGGCAAGGATGCCGCCATCTGATTGCTGCTGTATAAATCCCTCCGGACACTCAGCTCCCAGGCCGCCACGTCCCGTCTCCGAGTGTCTAGTCTGATGCCACAGTGCCCAGTGCAGCATTTCTCATCCTGTCTGATGTGCGCCCCCCCCCCATCCTTCTAGCCATGAAGGTCTCCATTGCCTTGTCTGGGTACAGGCTGCCCAGCCAGCCAGGCGGTGTCAGCACAACACGGGGCCCCGTGCTCAGAGCTGAGGGCATACCTGGCTCTGGGAGCAGCGGCCATGGTCCAAGCTAGGCGTGCCCCTTCCCTCTGACTGCTCGCGGGGTCCTGGTGTTTGCTGTCCTGTCACCGGGCCTCTGCACATGCAGTGCCCCCTGCCACCGCTTGCCTGAAGCTTTCCTTCTTTGTCAGCTCAGTGAGGTGCCGCGATTCACCTAGCATCCAGGAGTGGGGGTTGCCAAGCTCATTTCCCAAAAGCAGCCAGCTCAGGCCACATGCATGATTTGTGGTGCTCTGATGGTACCATGCCGCATGGGTGCTGACAGCTGGGGCCATGGCCCTTCAGCCCTGGGGAGCCAAAACCTCTGCTCTGGGGAGTTATTCTGCTGCTGCCCGTCCCACACCCTGAGTAGGTGAGCTGTTGCCAAACTGCCTGGCCTGCCACAGCCTATCCTGGCCTTTAGAGGTTCAGCTCAGCTCCCCTCCCCTGATCCTCTGGCTTGTATATCTAAGTCCAGCCTGAGTTGCCCAGGTAAGAAGCCACAAGTGGGGTAGTGGGAAGGTTCTAGAATGGGGGGTTTGCACAGGTGCTCACATGGGTACAAGTGGAGTGGATGCACGTGTGCACCAAGAGTACATTGGACAAGTGTGCCTTTGTTGTGGAGCCAAAGTTCAAGACTTTTGCCTGGTTCCTGAGTGCTAGTCTGCTGCTGGGGGTGGTGTATGTGTGTAAACGAGAGAAAGAGGGATATACGAAGAAAGAGAGTGACAGGTCCTGGGGAGATGGGCGGGGAGCTGGTCAGAGCTGAAGAGACATATCTTACTGTCTGAGGGACACTGGGGGTAGAAAAAGATGCGATGAGTTAGGGAGGAGGGGAGAGATGGAAACGGAGGCTTCCAGCAACTGGACCCCCCTCCCCAGGCTTGTCGGAAAGGGAGGACCCCCCCCCCAGAGCCCAAGTGTGGAGTGTCTGGGTGTGTCAGCCTCAGGGACCCTCTTAGGCCTAGTCCTGGGCTCTGGGGTGTGGTGGTCTTTGCCAAGTTGGGTCTCGGACTCTGAATGCCAGGGTGGGTCTTGGTCAGGCAGGGGGGCTTTCTTCAGGGCAGCAGGCCGCAGTGCTGAGCCCACCCACCATGGTAGTTTCCTGTTCAATGCATCCCACCCCAATTCGGGCAGGCCCCTGATGCAGGTCTCCTGATCTGCAGGTCAGCTCGGGTTCCTGACATGGGCTCATCCTGCAGTGATCGGGCCACATCTTTTCCCTCATCCCCTTGAGCCTAGCCCATGGGTGAGCAGACACCCAAAAGTTCCTCCCTTGGATCAAAAGCTGGACTCTGCATCTAGCAGCTGCCCCATCAGCCAGGGGGGGTTCCAGGGGAGCTGTGGGTTGGATCCCAGCTCTGGAGGCTCCCAAGGGGTGTGGGGCCAGGGAGCCTGCATCCCTTGGGAGCATGCATGCACACTTGTCCTGGCGGACCCTGGGAATTCCTGGGGGGCGGGGATCCAATGTGGGAGGGTCCATGTGACCTAGTGTGTGTAGGGTGCAGATTCACCAGTTTCAGGCAGCTAGCACCCACCATGTCCCTGCTGACTGGATGCAGAGTCCTCGGGGTGTGTTTTGGGCCCTGGAGAGGCCAGCCATTCTTACACCCTCCTCTAGCCTCCTGAGGGTGCTGTGGGCTGCCCTCCTGAAGCGTGGGCTATGGGTCAGCGTAGCCCTATTGCTATCCTGTAGGAGAGGGGTGGATCCCAGGGGACAGTGGCCTTGGGGGCTGTCTAAGGACAGCAGCAGGTCCCCCTGGGCCTCCCAGGGCTGGCATAGCTGGCGCTAAGGGAGGGGTTCAGCTATGGTGTTTGTACGGCCCGTACACACTCCCCTGTCTGCTCCACGAGTCATCTCAGCCCCAGCATCCCACACCCAATGCATTCTCTCCACTCACTGTGCAGGTGTAGCTGCCCGGGTTATCCAGCCTGCTGCGTACATGACTGCCCAGTGACCCTACCTGCGCCCGGCACCTGGGGGATGCAGCCAGCTCACTCCCTTCTCTCAGCTCGTGAGTCAGGCCTTAGCCCCGTGGATGTCTGTGACCAGGAGGAGGCCTTGGCCTGCCCTTTGCTTACTCTCCTGCAGTCTCCAGTTGTTTCTGACTGCATCTGCTGGGCCCTCAGCCGGTGCCCGGCCTGAAGCTGCCCCCTTCCTGGCTGGGTGCCTGTTCACCAGAGGCTATACCTTCGGTCAGAAACACTGTGTTATTCTGACATAGGAGGACATGTGGCACAAGAATGGCTGCACAGCAGGTGGCACCGTGGGAGGGGTGGAAGGGTGTGTGTTTTACTTTTTGTCTTTGTTTACAAATTTTTAAAATTATTATTTTATGATACAGTTGCATAGGTCTTGGGATTTCCATGACCCCCTCCCTAAGTTCCCTCTTCCCCACTAAGTTCCCTATATTATTACTGTAATATAGTTCTTCATAAACAGTCATTTCCATCATTGCAGGAATGGACAATGGCACAGAGTCCAGCATCCTATTGTCAAGATATAGTTAGCAGTTTCATTGGTAGTCTATCTTTGATCTGGAAGATACATACTGCATTGTATCCTCACATCTGGATGTTAGTCTCCATTACACAGTTACCCTACATCCCCTTAAGTGAAAAGCCACAATACAAAATCAACAACAGAAAAAAAAATAGAAATTTACAATGCCTTGAAGTTCTCGAGGTTTTGATAGTTCAACAATCCTGAATTGCTGCCGATCCCATTACTCCAATCTCGATGGAATCTCTCCAGAATCCACTGGCTGACATAGTCCACCTTAGAATCTCCATCTGCCAATGCTTGGTTGATCAATTTGTTCTGTCCTCCATCCTCTGCCATGGTACCGGGTGTCCTCTGGAGGCTCCAATGGACTGCCATATTATCCATGTGCCTTTGGATATACCATCCACTGCTCCATCTGAGCCACTGAGCAGGCCCAGCTCTGACACATGCACTCTATGGTCAGACCATGGAACTGCACTTCTCTCCATGGTTGAGGTTCTGAGTCCAGTGGGTCAGTTGTTAGGAAATTGCCAAAGAAACCTCATCTGAAGCCATCCCAGGCTGATTCTTGTGTTTGCCAAAACAGGGTCCGGTACAGTCTATCACTCAAAGCAGCCTACTCACACAATGGTGGTTGCAATTGCTGAATCAGTTCTGTCTCCAGCCCCATGTTTTACACAAACCAATGAATATTAGAGACCAGCCCGATTCTGCCCACCCATTACTTAGCCTTCACATAAATGAGTGGGAGCTGCAGCCAGTCTGAGCAACCCACAGTAATGCCCACCAGGCCTGCCCCCTGCCGTGGTTCCTGTGCTTGCCAGTATGTACAGCTGACTGGACTCATCTGTCCTATATCCCATTTGGCTCTTGTACATCAATGGGCATTTAAGCTCAGTTCATCCCAACCAGCTCCACTATCCAGTTTACACTGGTGCCAGCAGGTGCCACCATCTGTCTAGCCATGCCTGTGCCTGACAGAATTTGCCCCCTGTGCCAGTATCCACCAGCTGATGCTGCAGGAAAACCCAACCCACCCACACCCACTCTGGCTTATGCATGAACCAGAAGGTACAGTCAGCCCAGCCTGGCTTTTCCCTGATCCAGCTCACAGGTAGGCTGTCAGATGTTATGCCCCTGCCCAGCCTGGCCTGCCCCCATCCCAACTCTCATGCTGACCAGTGGGAGTAGTGGCTCAGCAGGGCGGCCCCTACAGCCCCTCCCCCCCGGGTATGTACCCACCCCCCGCTGGGTTTTACATGTGCTGATTGGGTGCTGTGGCCCAGTCTGGCACAACCTGCCTCACCTTGTCATTTGCCAGTGGGTGCTGTAGCCTGGCCGGGCCTGGCACAGCACAGGCTGATCGGGGCTACAGCCTGGCATAGCCCTGCCAGCCCTCAGTCCCGTCCTTAATGTAGACTGGCTGGTATTGCGTCCCATCCCAGCCTGACCCACACTCCATTCTGGTGCTTGGATTTGCCAGGGGGTGATATGGACTGACCCAGCCTGGCCTGCCCTTGACCTGCGCCAAATGTATGCCGGTGGGTACTGTATTGTCTTGGTCTGGGCTGCTCTCTGTTTTGGTTCTTGCACTCCACTCACATATTTGCAGGAAATATGTTCTGACAGAGGAGTTCTCCAAGTTCCTCTATCAGGATCTCTCCCAATGCCAGATCTTGCACACATCAGTGGGTCCATGGGCCAGCCCTACTTAGTCCACCTCCTATCCCACAGGAACAGTGGACTTTCTTGACCAGCCCTCACCTATTTCTGTTTTTGTTATTGGGTGCTACAGCCCAGCCAAGCCTGGTCTGTACCCAGACACAGTTCATGCGTGGCTCAGCAGGGGCAGAGATCTAGCCTAGCCTGTGTACACCTACCCTGGTTCTCATGAACACCATTGAGTGCTGGGGTCTGGCCCAGTCTGGCGCATCCCAGACCTAGCTCACACCCATGCTGAGGGATCCTGCAGCCATATCCAGACTAGACTGCAGCCCCCACTCCAGCCCTTGCACTTACCAGTGGGAATCACAGCCTGGCCAGGCAGTCTCCTCTGCTCCCCACCAGGCCTGTTCCCATCCACAGATTTTGTGCATGCCAGTGGTTGCTCTGACCTGGCCTGGCATAGCTCCTCATCTGTCTTAGTCTTTGCCTTTGGGTGCTACAACCTGGCCTTGCTCAGTCTGCTCCCAGCCCTGGCTCATGTAAACCAGTAGGTGTGATACCCTAGCCCAGCATGACCTGCACTCCAGCCTGGTTTCTGCACTTACCAGTGGGCTAAGGTTTGCTCAGCCCTGCCTGGTCCGCCCCCTTCTAAAACCAACCCACACTTGCCAATGGATAGGACTAGCTTGCCCAGCTTGCCTGAGTGGACCACGTGCTCACCAGTGGGAGCTATGATTCACTAGGGAAGTTTCCCAGGTTTCCCCACTCGGCCCACTCCCAGACCCAGATTCACATGCTCTAGCAGGTGCTGGGCCCTTGCCCGGCATAGACTGCTGCTCCATCTTGGCCTTTGAGTAAGCTGGTGGATGTTGCGGGCTGGCCTGCCCCATACTCTATTTTAGAATGCACATGTGGGTGCTGCAGCTTGGACCTACCCAGCCTATTCTTGGCCCCCGTACCCACGAGTGTTAGCGGGTTCCATGTTCACACCTAGTTCAGTCCATCACCATCCCAACTATTAAGCTAAGCAGCGGGACTTGTATTTTCACAGGGTTGGGCCCACTTATCCCCTGCAGAATCTACCCCCCACGGACCTGGTTCTCTCACATGCTGGTTAGTGTAATGGCCCTGCCTGATGTGACCCGTACCCTGTACTGACACTTAAGTACTGGAGTCTAGCTCTGTTAGGCCCCCAGCCATAGCTTTCATGTGGGGTGGCATGTGGTGGTCAGCGATGCTCTACAATAATAAGCCCATCTCAAGACTCCCATATGGGCTGGTGCATCAGTCTGACCCATAAAGATCTTCAGGTCTCTCCCTTCTAAACCACCAGGTCTCAGTCCCCTCGCTTTCCTGCAAGTACAGTGGCCCTGTTGTTGGGTGTCCCTCAGGATTCATTCCTCACCTACACGTTCAGTGGCCTTATCCATGGATGTCCCTCAGTAGTAGTTTTCCAGAGCTCCACAATGGGTGGCCAGCAGGCGGAACCCAATGCCGATTGGCACTCTGGCCTCCTAAGCCAAGATGGTCCCCACCGCTCAGAGGCTGCCAGGCTACGACACGCCCCCCGACCCTGACCAGCCAGAAGTGGCTGATGGGGTGAGGGGTCCCATTTGGCTGCCCAGCCCTCCAAACCCTCCAAGCCAGAATCCCACTTTGTCTTTTAATTTTTAAAATTTTAAAATTTTTATTTTTGATGATGTTGATATAGTTGATCAGAGTGGGAAGGACGACCCAGGGTTAAGGGAAAGTGGGAGTGATCGTTGTTTCCAAATTTTCTTTTTCTTCCTGTATCTGGGGAAAAGGGGAAGATAAAGGGAGGATCCACACCCAGCCTCCCAACACCTCAGTACCCAGGGATGGGGAACGGCTACCCGATGTTATCCCAGGGACTCCAGTTGAAGCATGTTCTAAGGGTTCTGCGTAAGTGATTTTGATACTTCTGAAATGCTGTTAATCTCGCCAGTGCAAGGTTGAGAGAACCTTTTCAATGTCCATTGGCTGACATAGTTGAACTTAGAGTCTCCATTTGCCCAATGTTTGCTGTCATCGCTTGGCTGGGATAGTTGTCTGATTTGTTCTGGCCTCCTTCCTCTGCTGTGGTATTAGATGTCATTTGCAGGCTCCAATTGGCAGCCATATCCTCCGTGTGCCTCTGGGCCTACCATCCACTGCTCCATCTTTTCCACTGAAGAGGGTTCTCCGGGCCACCAGCCCATTGGACACCTACCCCTAGGGCCCATGGACCTGCACCCACTGCTCAGGCAGACCTAAGAACCCAGGCTATGTGACCCAGGCAGGCTAGAACCCTGCCTCCAGGGCTCACAGACCCAGCACACACTGTACAGGTGGGCCTAAAGACCCAGGCCAGGCAACCTGGGCCCTGCCGGGTCCTCCACCCCTAGGACCCACAAACCCAGCACACTCCCCGCCCACATATCTTTAGAAAGAAAGAAAGAAAAAAAAAAAGAATAGGCTAGGTGACTATGCTCTTACCCTAGTATAGTTAAGACTTGCATTAATCAGGTTAAGGATGCCCACCTGCTATTAGCTACTTTTCTCCCAACAGTGTAAAACTTGCCTAGGTACAATACAACCTAGGCCATCGCCCACAGCTGGGGCACTGCTTGTGTCTTAAAAAAAAAAAAAAGATTCATTTATTTTTATTGGAAACGCTTTCCAGATTTACGGAGAGAGGAAAGAAAGCTCTGTCCTCCGGTTCATTCCTCAAGTGGCTGTGATGGCCGGAGCTATGCCTACTGAACCTAGAGCTTTATGGAGAAGCCAGAGATGGGGGTTACATTTTGGAGCCTTGATTTTCAGACAGGAGAGCTTTCCATCTGCTAATTCACTCCAAATGGTCATGGCAACCATGGCCAGGGCAGGCTGGAATCCATGGGTGCAGGGGCTGAGCACTGGGCCATGTGCTGCTGCTGTCCCAGGCACTGTAGCAGGGCACTGGATCAGAAGTGGAGCAGCTGGGATTCCAACTGGTGCTGCTGTGGGATACCAGCTGTGCCACAATGCTGGGAAGTCATGGAACTAGACAGAAGCCAGACCCTGAGGTGGTCCTAGGACAGGAAGGTCTCGGAGGGAGGTGGTGGGGTGCAAGGGTGGATGAAGGTGGCGTTGGGGAAGTCTTGGTGAAGTAGGGCTTCAAAGGAAGGGGCTGGTCCTCCCCCCCCCCCCCACCGAGTGCTGCTAGGAAAGGGCAAAGCTTGTTCTGCAGGGGTGGGGCAAGAGTCTTAATGCATGCAGGGCAACCCAAGTACGGTACCCCAACATCATTTTCCCACCATGCTTCCCTTTCCATGGGGCAGGGCTTACAACCGCAGTGACTGAGCGCCCATTCCAGCAGGTGGAAGTTGGCTAATCACGTAGACCTCTCAGAGCCCTGTAAATGTGAAATAAATGAGCACATAGAAGAAGGAATATACGGTGTGGGGGAGGTCATTACTTTCACCTAGGGCCCCGTGTGGGCCCCTGCTTGGTCGGGCGTGTCCTGGCTGGGGACACTTGATCTATTAGACACAGGGGCCCTTGACCTACTAGACACAGGTGTGAGGCCTGCCAGGTCCCTGCCTTTGTGGAGCTTGCTGGGCAGACAGAGGTCTTTGTGGCTTTGAGAGAGCAGCAGCTCCAGGGCCCCAGGGCGTGTCTGTGTTGGGGCAGGACCCTTGCAGCAGCTGTTTCAGCCAGTCCTGCCCAGGGGCGCATTGCCATTCTGCTGCAGGCGTCCCTGGCCTGCAGTGCTGCTCACAGCTGCCTCCTCTGGGTCCTCAACTCCCCATTAGATCCAGGCTCCGCCAGAGGAAATTAAACTCATTGGCTGGTAGCTGCCAGGAGGCGTGGCCAACTGCATCTCACATAAACACACAGCCCATCTCTCAAGACTCCCAGGCCTGCGTACTCACACCCCTGGCCCTAGGATCATGGTGCCCGTTTTCCACTTTATATTCATTATATTATACATTATATATAGATGCAGGCATGTCAGGAAGATTATGAAGGGAAATGGAATAAAAAGATGATCTTATTTTGAAGCAATAAAAAATAGAAAATCATAGGTTTTTTTTTTTATTTATATAGCACATGTTTTCCATGAACTTTTTGAAGATCTCTTATGCACATGGGTTTGTGAAAATGTGTGCAGGCCCTGTGCTGTGGCAGAAAACGTAGAGCTGTCACCTGTGGTGCTCACATTCCTATGGGGCTGGTTGAGGTCTGGCTGCTCCCCTTCTGATTGAACTCCCTGATACTACGCCCGGGAAAGCAGTGGGGATGGCTGAAGTGCCTGGGCCCTGCACCCCTGTGGGAGACCCAGAAGAAGCTTCTGGCTCCTGGCTTCAGCCTGGTCATGTCTTGTGAACCATTTGGGGAGTGAACAAGTGGGTAGAAAATATCACTCTCTGAATTTTGACTTTCAAATGAATAAAAGGTAGACTTTAAAATATTTTTTGCATTAAAATTAAGTTGTATTTTATAATTTATTTTTTTATTTGAAAGAATTACAGAGAGACAGAAAGAGGGAAAAATTCCATTCCTTGATTCATTCCCCAGATTGCAACAATGGCCTGAGCTGGGCCCCCCAAAGCAGGGACCAGGAGCATCTTCTTGGTCTCCCACAGGTGAGTCAGGAGCTCATGTACTTGGGCCAACTTTAGTTGCCTTCCCAGGTACATACACAGGAAACTGGATTGAAAATGGAGCAGCTGGGAATCAAGCCTGCGCCTCAATGGGATGCCAGCTTCTCAGGCAGTGCACCCCCGGGAGAGCTCCCTTAGCAAAGTACGCTGGAGTAGATTTTGTTCTGCAGAGAGAAGACAGGGAGGCAGGTGGGGCTGGGGTCAGGGACACCGCAGTGCGCATACACAGAGCATTCACTGTCAGGGACAGGTCAGAGGCCCTGCTCCAGGTGAGGTGCCTGGCTCTGCGCAGGTCAAGGCAGAGTCCCTCCTGTGGCGGGGGTTCCAGGGAAGCTCTTGGCAGACGCCCTCCTTGCAGCACAAGAAGCAAGGGGCTCCCCACAAGGGGATGGAGAAGTGGGTGCAGCTGGGATAGACAGGAAGAAGAGGGGCTGGCAGGGCTCCAGGGGTACCTGACCCCAGCCTGCTGCCTGCTCTGCCTCTGGGACACCCGCAGCTGCAGCAGCCACTGTCCCTGTCCATCTCATGAAGGCACAGCCAGGCTGGGAGGACAGCAGGGGCCTTGGGGAGCCCACAACACTTGGCCCTCTGGGAACACGGGGTTTGTGGAGGTGGCTGGGGTATGAGAGGAGTTAGGGAATCAGCCAGGGAACTCGGGAGATGGGCTCATGTATGTGATGGAGGGGCTGAGTAGGGGCGCAGAGTTGTAGTGGGATGAGGAGGAGGGACAGCCATTGGGACAGCAACTGGGAGGAGCCACACAGAGCTCTGAGGCTGCAATGGGTCTCCCTGAGATGCACCCACATCCTCTGCCTCCTGGGTCAGGAGGTCCTCCATCTTCCTGGCCTTGGGGGAGCTGTCCCCTGGCCAGGCCAGCCGGACTGGACTCACCACGGCGCTCATGGCATGTTGCTTGTCCTCCTCGGTCAGTTTGCTGTCCACACATTTCTTCAGTGCTGCCTCATTAGCTAGCACTACTGGGTTGCTGACATACCTCCCCATGTTGGAAATATAGTCATCAGGGGGCCCGGACAGGAACAGCTGCACGGCCTGCTCCACAGCTGGGCAGAGGTCACCATCTGGAAGGAAAGCAAAGACCCTCAGCAACACACCTGCGTCCCTCAGCCTCCACTCAGCTCAGCACTGCCCTGGGCCACTGGGGTCCCCAGCCCCTGAAGGACTCCTAGTCCCACCCCCAAGGCGCAGGCACCCACTGGCTCTGGAGGTCAGGAGCAAGGCTGCACCCAGCAGCAGCACCAGGGACTCAGCAAGCTTCATGGTATAGCAGGTGGCACCTGTGGGCCCTGCTCGGCCCTTTTATATGTGCTCTGGGGCCCTCCCAGGCTGCAGCTGGGAGCCAGGAGGGTGTGTGTGTGTGTGTGTGTGTGTGTGTGTGTGTGTGTGCCTCCTGAGTCAAGAGAGGACGCTGGCTCCTTTCCAGCTTCCTGCCCAGGACTACCCCAGGGCCTGGGGCCTGTGGGAGGAGAAGGAAGGGAACCCTGACTCGTGGGAGGAGAGAGAGGTTCCGTAGTCAGGAGCTGTGGTCTGCGTTGGCTGTTCCGTGCAGGCTGTGGATGTGGAGCTCTCAGGAGACTCAGCGCAGCTCGTCTCTGCTGTCTTCTCTCCTATGCCACTTGTCCTAAAAGATCCATCTGCTGTTCAGCCACCATGTGCAATCATGCCATCTGATATTGGAGTTCAGGTTTGATTCTTGGTTGTTCTGCTTCTGGTCCAGCTGTGCGAACAGGCCTGGGAAGGCAGTGGTTGATTGTCCAAATATGTGGGGCCTCACCCCCCCCCCCCAAGTGTGAACCCAGCTGGAAATCTGTGTTTCTGATTTGGGCCTGGCCTACTATTTTTCATAGTCTTTTTGAAACATTTGTTTTTATTTGAATGGTTAAGTTACAGAGAGAAGGTGAGAGAGAGAGAAAGATCTTTCATCCTCTGGCTCACACCCCAAATGGTCGTAACTGCTGGATCTTAGCTGATTTGAAGCCAGAAGATTCTTACAGGTCTCCCGTGTAGGTGCAGGGTTCCAGGGCTTTGGACCATCCTCAACTGCTTTCCCAGGCAATACCAAGTAGGTGGATGGAAAGTAGAGCAGCTGGGATATGAACTGGAACTCATATGCATCCCAGTGGATGCAAGGCAAGGATTTAGTCACTAGGCTATTGTGCTGGGCACCTATGGCATTAGTTTTATTTTATTTATTTATTTTTTAAAGATTTATTTATTTATTGGAAAGTCAGATATACAGAGAGGAGGAGAGACAGAGAGGAAGATCTTCCATCCGATGATTCACTCCCCAAGTGAGCGCAACGGCTGATGCTATGCCGATCCAAAGCCAGGATCCAGGAATTTCTTCCGGGTCTCCCACGCGGGTGCAGGGTCCCAAAGCTTTGGCCCATCCTTGACTGCTTTCCCAGGCCACAAGTAGGGAGCTGGATGGGAAGTGGGGTTGCTGGGATTAGAACCAGCGCCCATATGGGATCCCGGTGCGTTCAAGGCGAGGACTTTAGCTGCTAGGCCATGCCGCTGGGCCCATTATGGCATTAATTTTAAAAAGAGAAGGATTTGTATGTTGCACAAACTCTGAATTCCGCTTCTGCCTTGTTTTCCATTGTCCATTTGGCCGGAGGCACTCACTTCTCTCCCAGGTCAGCAGTGACAGAATCGGGTTTGCCAAGGAGTCAGAGCAGAAGGAAGAATACATTTTACTGACCCCGGGTAGAACCCTGCGCCAAGCAGGAATTACATCCGGCAGTTGCTATGGGCCAGCAGTGCCAGTGGCCAAGCTCCAGATGCCGGGGGCCACCAGGGACCTTGGGCTGGGGGAGAGTCAAGCACCTTAAGGGTTGTGTTTCTGGGAAGCTTGGCAGTCTAGGAGAGCCCTGGCCAGGGATTCTAGAAGGATCCCTAAGCTGAGCTTGACCTGTGAGCTCCTTGTGCTCTAGGCTAGGCCTGGCATTTCTGGGAAGAGAACCACGTAGGTCAGATGCCTCTTGCCACAGGGCACCCTGGGGTCCGGGACATCACTGTCTCCTTGCTGGTTGTCACTTAGAACTGCCAAGTTGTCCGGGGCAGGGGCAGCGCCTCCAGCTCTTGGGGAACAAGCTACAACACGACTTGGGGGGGTCTCTGTGAGAAAAGTGTGTGTTTTCTTCACCTGTCAGTGTGCACAGTCGCCTGTGTCAGCATGGATGTGTGTGTGGTGTCCAACTCATGGGTTGTGTCCTAAGTTGTGTTGTTATTGCTGTTCACGTTTTCACGTTGTGAGCACAGGGAGCTGGATCAGCTTGCATCTGCCCACTTTCCACGGACAGTCTCATCCTGTTTGAGCCACCAAGTGGCTTTCTTGGACAAAAGATGACATTGAGTTTGCAAGAGTTTGGGCCAATGGAGAAAAGCTGTGGCAAATCGAGGAATTTGGCCTGTGGAACTGCAGCCTGCTGGGCCCAAAGGGCACGGGAGAAATCCGTATGCCACTGCCTGCAGGTGCTGGCTGCTGTGTCATGGTCACCGAAAAGGATGAGACAGCCAGGAGAGGGCACGGCTTGCAGCAACAGGGAATCAAGGGAGGGCCCAGGTGTCAGCTCCCCTCAGGGTGAGAAGGTGCTGCTGGCAAGAGCCCGGGAGTGGGCACAGGCAGCGTTTCACCCACCCAAGGGAACCAGAGGACACCAGTTCTGGCAGTCCTAGATGCTGCCCACCTGCCCTGGGCTCTGACCCAGGGTCTCTCCACTGCTGAGATGCTGACACACCCACCCCAGGTCAGAAACACAGACACAAGTTGGTTTTCTGGATGACTTTGGCTCCCTGTGACTCTGTAAACATGACCCTGACTCCCTCTGTGATTTTGATGTGTGCACTGGGGAGATTAGCGGCTTGGGAGCCAGGAGAGGTGTTGAGAGGACATGACTAGGAAGCAGAGGTGACAGTTGGGGCTGAGACAACACAGCACTTGGCTCAGGATGGACCCACTTTGAAAGGTCACTTCTCCTCGAAGCCAACGGTGCCAGGCAAACATCTCCCACAGCCTTGCTCCTCACAGTGGGCGGGGCTTGCCTTACTTATCACCCCGTGGGCCTGGGCAAGCACAGTACCACATCCTGGCACAGAGGCGTCTGGGAAGCCAGAAGTTCCCAAAGCAGCAGGAACCTGAACGTGAGCAGAGCTCCCAGCAGCAGCAGCATGAAGGGGACACTGGCTGTGCTGGCCTTGCTGCTGAGTGGCGAGCTTGGCTTGCAGAGGGGTGAGAGTGGTAAGGAGGGCCGTGGCAAGCGTGCGTAGGCCTCGTGCTCTTAGCCTGCCTTCATGTGAGGACCTCTTAGCAGCTTTCAGGGACACATCAGGGGCGGTTGGGAGGTAACTGACTGGGAACTGTTGCAGGAATACTTGGAGTCTGTCCTCAGCGGGAGGGAGACATTGTTGAGGAAGAGTTCATTCGTGGTATTAACAGTAGGGGTTAGGGTTTCTTTTTACAATCTGAGTGGCAGAGAGCATGCCTGGAAGAGCATGCCTATTCACTGGCTTGCTCCCCTGTTGCCTGTGATGGCCCAGGCCATTCCAGACTCTGAAGTTAGAGCTGGGCTCAATTCAGCTCTCCTGTCTGGGTGGCAGGAACCCAGCTGCTTGAGAGCCATCATTGCTGCCTCCTAGTGTCTGCATAGGGAATTGCACCAGGTGTTCCCATGTGGGTTCTGAGCACTTGGCATCATATGCCGGGGTAGTTTTCTGCAGGGATGCTTTCAGGCTCCTGTGCTGGGGCCTTGGTCCTGGCCAGGGAGGTCTGAGTGGTGGCTGCATCCGTTACTCCTTCCCTCTGGGTAGTGTGGTGGGGGAGGGCAGGTCTCTGTGGAGGCTTAGCTACGAGGCGCTGGGTACAGAAGCCTCTGCAGGTGGGGGTGGGAGCAACTTAACCTCCTACTCGCCTACCCTGGTGGCTCCTCTAACAACATGTCTTCCTGGTTGCGTTTCCAGTGGTCACTTGCCCGATCTTTTATGAGGTCTTTGGGGCACTGTCCCTTGGAAGCAGGACACTGCTGGATGGCTCCTTGAGCACGGTCAATGCCACCCCAGCAGAGAAAGAAGCCCTGGGAAAAGTCCAGGATTGCTACAATGAGGGAGGGCTTACAGCCAAGACCTTGGATCTACAGGCCATGGTAACTTCCTCCTCATGCCCCCGCCACTCCAGAGCAGCACACTGTAGAATGGTACACCATGCACCCACAGAGCAGGGACCCCGGGGCACAGGACAGATGAAACACAAACAGTGGAGCATGTCGGTCTCGGCTCCATCCTTCAGTCCACACCGTATTCCAGCACTGTCATGCGTGCCCTGTGCTGTGCAGCTCATTCTTATGTCATGCATGCTCCCATGTGAGTGTAACACAGAAAGTATGCCTAAGCCTTAATTTTCTCTTACACAAAGGGAGCTCCATTGCAGGAGAACCTTGGCCACAGAGGAGCCCTTGTCAGCACCTGCACAGTTGGACGCTCCACCATAGGAATTAGAAAATGATGCCTGCCTTGGGTTGCTTTCCCAGAAAGCAAGCCCTGTCCCTGCAAGGCCTCTGCCTGTGGGCCGGTTTCACGTTCCTGGCTGCCGGCCTCCCAGGCTCGAACAGGGCTGCTGGCACTCCCAGGCTCAGACAGGGCTTCTGGCCCTCCCAGGCTCGGATGGGCTGCCGGCCCTCCCTGGCTCGGATGGGGCTGCCAGCCCTCCCTGGCTCGGACGGGGCTGCCGGCCCTCCCAGGCTCGGACGGGGCCTGCCCCTCCCTGTGTTGTCTCAGAGCATGGAAGGAGACTTGCACGGTCTGTGGTTCTAGCGGCAGTTGCCTGTCACGTCATTCACTGCATTCCCGGATGAACTTTCACCTGGGGTTATGGTTCCTGTTCCACTGTTGTGTAGATTTTGAAGAGTTTGTCCCAAATCCTATTTTCCCCAAAGTGCTGTGTTTTTTTTGGGAGGGGAAGGGGTGGCGGGGGGGGGGAGTGTCTGCATCTTCAAACTGTTTTAGTTACAGATTTTTTGCACTAATGTGTGCACCAGACAGGGTTGGTTATGACACACCCACCCACCTCCCATGCAGCCCACTGAGCTGACAGACAGGTCTCCATGGTGGGAGACACCATTCACCTGAGCAACAGCCACCGTGCCCCTCCCCACACCCACCGCCCTCCTACCCAGCCCTCCCAGTGCCTTCCCTTCCTGTTCAGACCCAGTGCTGATGACTGAGATCTGTTAGTCTTCCTCTTCCCAGACCTGACTCAAGGCAGCCCCTTCTTCTGGAGTGATCCTGGGGTATTGGGTAGCCGCGCTTTGGTCCAGGACCTGCCTGTAGTCACTCTGTTCTCACTCTTTGTCTCTTCCAGACGTCCATCACTACCAGCCCAGAATGCATTTCACATTCACTGGTGACAGTCAAAGAAAATCTTAAAAGCGTATTACCCATTGACCGTTAGCACCTACCGATGCTGTGAGAAGGTGTCTTCTGCCATTGACGCCTGCTCTGAACTCCTTCGTCCTGCCCTGTTATCCTTCTCATCAGAAGCTAGACTCAGAATGCCTGGCCTCACCTGCTTGTAGTCTCCATTAGGTTGTTTCCAATAAACACCTGAAGCTCTGCTTTGCATGCCTGGGTCTGTGTGCTGTGCAGGGAGCCTGTGAGACCTGGCGGAAGATCTTGGGAGACAGTGAGTGGAAGGGACCCCAGGCCAGGGGAAGTGTCCTCAGTCAGCACCAGGAGAGATCTGGGCCCCACCGCAGGTGGGCTATATGGTCCTGGGCTGGTGTTCCATCATTTTGTGGCTGTTTTCTCCCCTGTAAGTATAGTGAGGGTCAAATACGTATTGAATGACAGGCTGCACACGCAGGGACTAAGAACAGGGTGTCAGGACCATGGACAGAGGTCTTGGGGTCTGCAGCCTTTCTCACAGTTGCAGGGCTGTCTCCCCAGCAGGTGCTGAGTGACTGTAGAGATGACCCAGGCGGGCTCACCTCAAATCTTCTTGTCTTCTAGAGGTATTGGCTCTTTTCTGGCTCTTAATTCTGCCAGCAGCCACTAGGACTTCATCCAGTGCTGGCCTAGGGAGATGGAAAGAGGGGAGAAAGGGAGAAGAGGGCAGTTTTCCTCAAAGAAGCCACTGTCCTGGAAACCATTGAGACTGTCCAGTCTTGCATGGAGGATGTGCCAGCTGGGGTGTGTGGCAGTCCCCTGAACTACGTCCCAAAGCTTTCAATGGAGTATTGCTTTAACCAGGAGGCCACCTGTGAATCAACAAGGCAGGGACTGGATGTGACTGGATGTGCAAGTCACACTGACAAGGCTACAGTTTTTATTGAGAAATATAAAATCAAATTAGAATTAATGAAGGGCAAACTCTTGCTCTTGTGTAGGATGAATTTGCATTGTAGACATGTCAGCTATTCTTCTTAAACTAATATTTGGCCCAGGGAAGATTGAGCTAACATTTATCCAAAAGAGGTAATGCTTGGGGGCTGGCACTGTGGCTCAACTGGGTAATCCTTCATCTTCAATATCAGCATCCCATGTAGGCAGTGGTTCATGTCCCAGCTGCTCTACTCCCCATCAACTCCCTACTGATGGCCTAGGATCGCAGTGAAGGATGTGCCAAAGCTTTGGTACCCTGCACCCATGAGACTTGGAAGAAGCTCCTGGCTCCTGGCTTCAGATTGGCTCAACTCCAGCTATTGCTGCCATTTGGGGAGTGAACCAGCCGATGGAAGATCTTTCCCTTTCTGTCTCTTTTTCTCTCTGTAAAAATCTGCCTTTCCAGTAAAAATAAATAAATCCTTAAAAAAAGATTAAATGTCTAAGTCAACCAAGAAAATTTTGTGAATTAAGAAGTATAAGCAGGAAATTTTAAAAAATCAGGTATTACAGCATAGGAATTAGGTTATGATTAATAAATCATCTTCATATAAGAAGAGATAGATGGTCCTTGTGAAGAAGAGAAAGTACACAAAGAGACACGAAAGAGAGTTTGTGCTGGGGTTGGCACTATGGAGTAACGGGCTAAGCTGCCACTGATGATGTTAGCATCCCATATGAGCTCCACTTCCACCCCAGCCCCACTTCCAACCCAGCTCCCAGCTTATTTTCCTGGGATATCAGTGAGGATAGGCTAGGTGCTTGAGCCCCTGTACCCACGTGGGAAACCCAAAAGAAGCTCCTCGCTCCTGGCCTCCACTAGACACAGCAGTTGGCATCATTTTGGAAGCAAACCAGTTAATGGAACACTTCTCTTTCTCTCTCATTCTCTCTCCCCCACCATAACTCTGCCTTTCCAATAATGAAATAAATATTTAAAAGAATAGTGTGTGAGGGGGCAATACTATGGCATAGTAAGCTCAGCTTCCAACTGTGGCATCAGCATCCAATGTGGGCACCGATTCATGTCTCTGACGCTCCACATGCAACCCAGAATCCTGTTGAAGGCCTAGGAAGGCCGCAGGGGATAGCTCGTATCCTGGGGGCCCTCCATTGGTATGGGAGATGCAGAGGAAGCTTCTGGCTCCTGGCTTCAGAAGCGCTCAACTCTGGTCATTGTGGTCACTTGGGGAGTGAACCAGTGGAGGGAAGACCCTTCATTTGACTCCCATTTGGCACACTTTCTGTGTTACACTCACATGGGAGCATACATAACATAAGAATGGCCTACACAGCTTGGGGCACGCATGACAGTGGTGGAATACGGTGTGGACTGAAGGATGGAGCCGAGACCGACATGCTCCACTGTTTGTGTTTCATCTGTCCTGTGCCCCGGGGTCCCTGCTCTGTGGGTGCATGGTGCACTATTCTACAGTGTGCTGCTCTGGAGTGGCGGGGGCATGAGGAGGAAGTTACCATGGCCAGTAGATCCAAGGTCTTGGCTGTAAGCCCTCCCTCATTGTAGCAATCCTGGACTTTTCCCAGGGCTTCTTTCTCTGCTGGGGTGGCATCGACCATGCTCAAGGAGCCATCCAGCAGTGTCCTGCTTCCAAGGGACAGTGCCCCAAAGACCTCATAAAAGATCGGGCAAGTGACCACAGGAAGACATGTTGTTAGAGGAGCCACCAGGGTAGGCGAGTAGGAGGTTAAGTTGCTCCCACCCCCACCTGCAGAGGCTTCTGTACCCAGCGCCTCGTAGCTAAGCCTCCACAGAGACCTTCCCCACATGAAGGAAGACTAAGAGCACGGGGCAGGCCTCCGCACGCTTGCCACGGCCCTCCTTACCACTCTCACTCCTCTGCAAGCCCAGCTCGCCGCTCAGCAGCAAGGCCAGCGCAGCCAGTGTCCCCTTCATGCTGCTGCTGCTGGGAACTCTGCTCACGTTCAGGTTCCCGCTGCTTTGGGAACTTCTGGCTTCCCAGACGCCTCTGTGCCAGGATGTGGTACTGTGCTTGCCCAGGCCCACGGGGTGATAAGTAAGGCAAGCCCCGCCCACTGTGAGGAGCAAGGCTGTGGGAGATGTTTGCCTGGCACCGTTGGCTTCGAGGAGAAGTGACCTTTCAAAGTGGGTCCATCCTGAGCCAAGTGCTGTGTTGTCCCAGCCCCAACTGTCACCTCTGCTTCCTAGTCATGTCCTCTCAACACCTCTCCTGGCTCCCAAGCCGCTAATCTCCCCAGTGCACACATCAAAATCACAGAGGGAGTCAGGGTCATGTTTACAGAGTCACAGGGAGCCAAAGTCATCCAGAAAACCAACTTGTGTCTGTGTTTCTGACCTGGGGTGGGTGTGTCAGCATCTCAGCAGTGGAGAGACCCTGGGTCAGAGCCCAGGGCAGGTGGGCAGCATCTAGGACTGCCAGAACTGGTGTCCTCTGGTTCCCTTGGGTGGGTGAAACGCTGCCTGTGCCCACTCCCAGGCTCTTGCCAGCAGCACCTTCTCACCCTGAGGGGAGCTGACACCTGGGCCCTCCCTTGATTCCCTGTTGTTGCAAGCGGTGCCCTCTCCTGGCTGTCTCATCCTTTTCGGTGACCATGACACAGCAGCCAGCACCTGCAGGCAGTGGCATACGGATTTCTCCCGTGCCCTTTGGGCCCAGCAGGCTGCAGTTCCACAGGCCAGATTTCTCGATTTGCCACAGCTTGACTCCATTGGCCCAAACTCTTGCAAACTCCATGTCCAAAAAAACCAGTTGATTGGCCCCGTGGCCTGGATGTACAGAGCTTCCAGCAGCTTAGTGCTACTGGGAATATCTAAGTCAGGTCGGACTCAATGCTTGGGGCCCTGGCCGCAGCCACCACTGCCATTCGGTGAGCAAGTCCTGGGGTTTGTGTGGCCAGCGTGCCAATTGGTATTGGGCTCCCCCTGCTGGCTGCCTGTCGGTGAGCTCGGGGTCTTGGGGGTATAGAATTGCTGTCTAGGTGTGTCCATGAATGAGGCCACTCTGCGTGTTGATGAGGAGTCAATCCTGAGGGACTCCCAATGACAGGGTCACTTTACTTAAAGGCAAATGAGGGTGCTGGGACCTTGTGGTTTTTAGGAGAGAGGCCAGACGCTCTGTATTGGTCACATTGATACACCAGCCTACATGTGAGTCCTGTATAGGGCTTATTGTCACTGAACAATGCAGACCACCACAGGCCAGTCTATGCAAAAGCTAGGGCTGGGGGCCTGTCTAGTAGGGCTAGATCCTAGTTCCGGATAGAATGTTGAATCAGGGGACGGGTCACATTAGGCAGAGTCATGACACTAACCAGGGTCATGACACTAACTGTGAGGGATGTATGAACCCAACCGTGTGGAAATACAAGTCCCATGGTAAGCTTAATAGTTGGGGTGGTGATAGGCTGAGCTAGGTGTGACCATGGAACCTGCCATCACTCATGGCATGGGTACAGTGACTGATAACAGTCTGGGCATGTCCAGGCTGCAGCATCCTAAAATAGGGCATGGGGCAGGCTGATCTGCAATGTTCACCAGCTCATACAAGAATAAGATGGAAGGGCAGGCTATGCTGGGCACTGACCTAACACCTGCTGGCATCTATGAGATCTGGGTCTGGGAGTGGGTCAAGTGGGAAAAATTGGGAAACTCCCCTAGTGGGTCTTAACTCTCATTGATGGTCACATGGTCGAGGCCTGGGGGTTGGGCAAGCTGGGCAAAATAGTTCCAATGGTTGGCTAATGTGTGGATTGGTTATGGAAGTGGGCAGACCGGGCAGGGCCAAACAAGCCTTAGCTCACAAGCAAGAACAGAAATCAGGCTGGAGTATAGGTCATGTTGAGCTAGGCTCTTACACCTATTGGTTTGCATGAGCCAGAGATGCCAGGCTACAGCATCTAAGGCAAAGGCCAAGACAGATGAGGGGTTATGCCAAGCTGGGTCAGAGCAACCACTGGCATGTACAATCTATGGCTGGGAACAAACCTGGTTGGGAAGTTAAGAGGGCACCTTGGCTGGGTTGGGGTTCCCACTGGTTAGTGCAGGGCTGGAGTTGGGGCTGTGTTCTGGTCTGGATATGGCTGCAGTGTCCTTTGGCATAAGTGTGGACTGGGGCTGGGCGCACCAAGCCGGACTAGACTCCAGCACCATCTGGTGCTCTGGAGGATCAGGGCAGGTGTAGGACAGAATAGGCTAGGTCGTGGCTACGTGTGAGCTGTGTCTGGGTGTGGACAAGCCTTGACTGGGCTGAAACATCCAACACTAAGAACCAGAATGGGTTGAAGGCCAGTCAGGAAAGAACACTGTTCCTGCCAGGACAGGAAGTGGACTAAGTAGGGCTGGCCCATGGACCCACCGGTATGCGCAAGATCTGGCACTGGGAGAGGTTCTGATGGAGGAGCCTGGGCAACTCCACTGGCAGGACACAGTCCCTGCAGGTGAGCGCAAGAACCACGATAGGGAGCAGCCTGGATCAGGCCAGAGAAAGGTACCCACCGGCATACATTTGGCATAGGTCAGGGGCAGACCAGGCTGAATCAGTTCACATCACCCACTGGCAAATCTGAGCATATGAATAAAGTGTGGGTCGGGCAGTACACATACCAGTACACATCACAGCTGAGACTGGGTGCCAGCTTGGCTAGGCTGTAACCCCCACCAGCATGAGCAGCTGGAATTGGGGTTTTTCCAGGCTGGGCCAGGCTACAGCAATCACGGGCAAATGCCAAGGTGAGGTGGACCATGCCAGACTGGGCTGCAGCACTCAACCAACACACCTGTGGGCCTCATGTGAGCTAGATCAGTGGAAAGCCAGGCTGGGCTGACTGTTCTGACTGGTGTAAGCATAAATCAGAGTGGGTGAGGGTTGGTTATGCTTTGCTAGAGCATCAGCTGGCAGAGGCTGGCACTGGAGGCTTATTCTGTCAAGTCAAACTCCAGAAGCACCTGGATAGTGCACAAGCTAGGAGTGTGAGTGGGCCCAGAAGGGAAATAGTGGGCACCTCCCTCTTGGGTTACCACTCCCATTGGAGAGCATAAAAACCAGGACTGGGGCAGACATGGCTAGACAGAATGGTGCCATCAACATGTGTGTTAGCTGGATAATGGGACTGGTTGGGTTGAACTATATTTCAACACCCATTGACATGTATGAGAGCTGAATGGGATGTGGGAAAGACTTGACCAGTCTGCTGTACTAGTTAGCACGGTAACTAGGGCAGGGGGCAGGCCTGGTGGGGGTTATTGTGGGTCGCTCCGACTAGGCTGCAGCTCCCACTCAGCCACTCAGTGAGGTGGGAAGAATCAGACTGGACTGCAATATCAATTGGTTTGCGTGGAAGACAGGGCTGGAAACAGAACTAAGCCAGCAATTGCAACCACCAGCATATGCATAAGCTGATGGAGGTGATGGACTGTGCTGGACCCTGTACTGGCATGCACACAGAAGAATTAGTCTGAGATCACTTCAGAAGAAGTTTTTTGGGGGATATCTCCAATTGAATTGCTGATCTCAGAGCCCCAGCCATGAAGAGAAGTGCAGGTTCCATGGTCTGACTATGGAGTGCATGTGTCAAAGCCAAGCCTCCTCAGAGGTTCAGACAGAGCAGTGGACGGTAAATCCAGGTGCACATGGAGGATATTGGAACCTGCAGAGGACACCTGGTACCACAACAGAGGGCAGAGGATGGAACAAACTGATCAATCTCCCCAGATAAGTGTTGACAGTGAAAATTTGGGCAAATGTGGGCCCGGCGCGGTGGCGCAAGTGGTTAAGGTCCTAGCCTTGCACGCCCGGGATCCCATATGGGTGCCGGTTCTAATCCCGGCAGCCCCGCTTCCCTTCCAGCTCCCTCCCTGTGGCCCGGGAAAGCAGCAGAGGACGGCCCAAAGCTTTGGGACCTTGCACCGGAAGAGGCTCCTGGCTTCGGATCGGCATAGCATCGGCCGTTGCGCTCACTTGGGGAGTGAATCATCAGATGGAAGATCTTCCTCTCTGTATATCCACCTTTCCAATAAAAAAATAATAAAAATAAATCTTTTTTTAAAAAAAGAAAATTTGGGCAAATGGAAGCTAAGGTGGACTGTGTCAGTCAATGGATTCTGGAGAGATTTCTTCATGCTTGGCATGGTGAGATTGGCAGCAATTCAGAACTGTTGAATTATCAAAACCACTTGAGCAGTGCCCTCGGAGCATGCCCCACATCGGGGACCCTGGGATGGGTGGGAGGCTGGGTGGGGCTTCACCATTTATCTCCCTCCTTACCCCAGATACAGAAAAAAAAAAAAAAAGACAATGTGGAAACAATGTTCTTACCCACTTTCCTATAACCCTTGACTCTTTGTGCCCTAATCAACTATGCAAAGATTTTCAAAATAAAATAATAACCTAAAAAAGCAGCTTGGTGACTCAAACAGGATAGGACTGTCCATGGAAAGGGGGCAGATGGAGACTGATCCAGCTCCCTGCGCTCACAGTGTGAAGACATGAGTGACACTGGACAAGCTCAGCTTAGGAATCCTTCTAGAATCCCTGGCCAGGGCTCTCCTAGACTGCCAAGCTTCCCAGAAACACAACCCTTAAGGTGCTTGACTCTCCCCCAGCCCAAGGTCCCTGGTGGCCCCCGGCATCTGAAGCTCGGCTGTTGGCACTGTTGGCCCATAGCAGCTGCCGGATGTAATTCCTGCTTGGCGCAGGGTTCTACCCGGGGTCAGCACAGTGTGTCCTTCCTTGTGCTCTGATGCCTCGGCAAACCTGTCACTGCTGACTTGGGAGAGAAGTGAGTGCCTCCGGCCAAATGGACAATGGAAGACAAGGCAGAAGCTGAATTCAGAGTTTGTGCAACATACAAATCCTTCTCTTTTTAAAATTAATGCCTGGGAGGTGACTCCAGTTTGGGCCTGCCTGAGGTTTTTAAAGGTCAATCAAGCACCAGCACATGTGAGAGACCTGAGCTGGCGTAGTTAGCATCGACCATCACCGATCACCACTCAATGGTACACACTAAAGCTACGGCTGAGGCTTACCTGACAGGGCAAGGTCACAGTACCCACCAGGGAGAGTTGTAACAAGGGAAGGGCAAGTTAGGACGGGCTGTAACAACAATTAGCACGTGAGAGAATTGGGTCTTGTGGCAGAATCTATGGGGGACATGTGGGCTCACCCCGTGGAACTGCAATTTCTATTGGCTTGCCCAAGAACTGCGGATGGGAGCAGAACTGGCTGGGGAGCTAAGGGGAGGCCCCAGTGGGGTCAGGATTCCCACTGGTGAACAGGAGAGCCAGACTAAGGGCAGCAGACTGGGCTGGACATGGCTATTGCTCCCTCTGCACAGGTATGCACTGGGTCTGGGGAGTGACAGATTGGGCTACACCCCAGCACCCACTGGTACTCAAGAGAGCCAGGGTGGGTGTAGAACGGCCTGGGCTATGTCTTGACTCCTGCTGAACCCTGCAAAAGCTGTGACTGGGTGAGGACCAGGCATGGCTGGGCTGCAATACTCAACAGCAAGAACCAGTATGAGTATGGACCAGTTGAGCAAGGCCACTATTCTTGCCAGGACAGGAGGTGGACAAAGCCAACTTGGGCCACCAAAGACCCACTGGTGTGCTTGAGAACTGCCACTGGGAGGAGACCCAACAGAGGAGCTTGGGAAACTCCTCTGTAGGGGCGCAGTCCCTGTGGGTGAGTGCAAGAACCAAGGCAAGGAACAGCTCAGACCATGCCAGGTTATAGTACCTGCCGGCGTAAGTGTGGGTCAGGTCTGGGGACCAGTCTGGACCAGTTCATAGCAACCACTGGGAGACCTGATAACCAGGACAGGGTGCAGGAGCGGCCAGGTCAGGCCACTATGACAATCAGTTTACACTAGGGCCAGGACAGGGTTCTGGCTGTACTGGACTGGGCTGCAGCACCCACCAGCAGCAGCTGGAACAGTGGGTAAGTTGGACTGAGCCAGGCAAAAAAACATGATAGTGGATGCTGAGGTGAGGCGAGCCATGCCAGCCTGGAGTCAGTGGGTGCCGGGTTTGTGAGCCTCAGGGGTAGGGGATGCAGTGGGGTGGGGGATTCTACAGGGCTCGCTTGGGTCACCTGGTCTGGGTCCTGAAGTCCACTGCATGGTGGGTGCTGGGTTCATGAGCCCCAGGGGTTGGGGATCTGGCCGGACTTGGGTTGCCTGGCCTGGGTCCTGGGGCCTGCCTGTGAGTGAGATAGGCAGAGCAGTGGTCTCAGACCTTGATGCACACGGAGAATATGGCAGCTATTTGGTACCATAGCAAAGGAAGGAGAACAGAGCAAATTGGACCACTACTCCAGCCAATGATGACAGCAAAAATCTGAGTGAGTGGAGACACCAGGGTGACTATGTCAGCCGATGGACACTGGGAGGGTTGCCTCACCCCCGGATTGGTGAAATCGACAGCATTTCGGAGCTATGCAAAGCACTTGGGCAGAACCCTCAGAACATGCACTACAGCGGGATCCTGGGTAATTAATATCTGTCAATCTCACGCACATGTATATGCACACATTTGTATATAGAATGTAAAAGGTCATGCATACATATATATATATGTATGTATATATATATGTATATATATACATGCACAAAAGAAGTGAATAAAAGATACATATTATGGGGCCTGGCGCACTAGTGTAGAGATTAAAGTCCTAACCTTGAACGCACTGGGATGCCATATGGGCACCGGTTCTAAACCCGGTGGCCCTGCTTCCCATCCAGCTCCCTGCTTATGGCCTAGAAAAGCAGTCAAGGAAGGCCCAAGGCTCTGGGAGCCCGCCCCCGTGTGGGAGACCTGGAAGAAGCTCCTGGGTTCTGGCTTTGGATTGGCTCGGCTCCAGCTGTTGCAGCCACTTGGGGAGCGCACTATCCAACGGAAGATCTTCCTCTCTGTCTCTCCTCCTCTCTATATCTCTGACTTGCCAAAAAATAAACAAATCTTTTTTAAAAAAAAGATACATACTATGAAAAAAATGATACTTGGCCCTCAAAATTTTGCATCAAAATATGTCATTAGTTTATTTACTTATAAGGCAGAATGGGGCCCAGCATGATGGCTGAATGGCTAAAACCTTACCTTGTAAGCACTGGGGTCATATGTGAATGCCAGTTTGTGGCGCTGCTCTGCTCTCCATCCAGCTTCCTGCTTGTGGCCTGGGAAAGCAGTCAAGGACGGCCCAAAGCCTTGGGACCCTGCACCAGTGTGGGAGACCTAGAGGAGGATCTGGGCTCCTGAATTTGGATCGGCATAGCATCAGCCGTTGTGCTCACTTGGGGAGTGAAGGGACCGCCATATTTGAACCACTGTCCATTGCCTTCTCAGGCCTGTGTGCACAACTGGATTGGAAGTAGAACAGCCAGGAATTGAACCCACACTTCAAAATGGGATGCCTTCATCACGTGTGGCAGCTTAATCTACTCTAGCATGGCACTGGCCCCTAAACTTATCTTGAAATCTCATTTGCTAAGAACTTCTTGCAGGCCCCGCCTGTGTACACCGAGGCATCCAGCAAACAGCCTATGGTGCCTCCAAGTGACCCTCCTGGCCCCCTGACAGCCAAGGCCTTGGGCTCCTGGGACTCCTAACACCTGTGTGAAGGAGCAGCACTTCACACAGAGCAGGCAGGACATCGAAGGGAGACAACAGACAGCGTGATGGGGAATGGGAAGATTTTCCTGTGAGAAGAGGCAAGAGTTTGTTGTAGGGGCTGGCTCTGTGGTGTAGTATATAAAGCTGCTGCCAGCACCATCAGCATGCCACAGGAGTTCAAGTCCCAGCGGCTTCACTTTCTGATCCAGCTCTCTCATAATGGCCTGGAAAAGCAGTGGATGATGGCTCAAGTCATTGCACTCCTTGCACCCGCATGTGAGATCAGCAAGAAGCCCAGAGCTTCCACTGCTGGCCACATAGCTAAGCCTCATTTTCTGCCCCTCTCCATCACCAGGTTGTTTTCTTGGAGACCACCAGGGGCAGTTCTACCCTACTCTGCCCCCTCTTTTGCATCTTTGATCAGGCCCCATCCCCACATGACCCCCCACCCTATAACACGGATGGTCCCAGCCTGGGAGGGGAGCCTCTGCCCCGAGGCTGCTGGCAGAGTGTGCCCTGCTCACGGGCCCAGGGCCCAATCCTGCACTTGTATCTCCTGGGTGTATTCTGACACTCACGCAGACAAGGACCTGCACTGGGTCTGCCTGTGGGAGTCTCCGTCTCTCACCCCCACCAGGCAGAAGGTGGTCAAAGAACAACTCCATCTCCAGACTCAGGTCAAAGTTGTCAGGGCTGGTAAGCAAAGGAGAGACGACAGCGGAGCCCTTGAGGCCCGACCTGGCCCTGCCACCCACTAGCTGTGAGACAGGAGCCCAGATGGAACAGGCCGACACGGCCCATGGCGCCTGACCTGAAGCCTTTCTCCCCGCTGCCTTTTCTGTCCCTTCCCCTCCAAGAGGCACCTGGAGCTGGGGCGGCCCTGGGCGACAGCTGGGAAGGAGCCAGCGCCCTCTGTTGACTCAGAAGATGAGACACACACACACACACACACACACACACACACACACACACACACCCCTCCTGGCTCCCAGCTACAGCCTGGGAGGGCCAGGAATTGGGCCGCCCACCCCAGAGCAGGTATAAAGGGGCTGGGCAGAGCCCGCAGGTGCCACCTGCTATACCATGAAGCCTGCTGGTTTTCTGGTGCTGCTGCTGGGTGCAGCCTTGCTCCTGACCTCCAGAGCCAGTGGGTGCCTGTGCCTTGGGGGGTGGGACTGGGGGTCCTTCAGGGGCTGGGGTCCCCAGTGGCCCAGGGCAGTGCTGAGCTGAGTGGAGGCTGAAGGACGCGGGTGTGTTGCTGAGGGTCTTTGCTTTCCTTCTAGATGGCGACATTTGCCCAGCTGTGGAGCAGGATGTCCAGCTGTTCCTGACCGGTCCTGTTGATGACTACGTTTCCTACGTGGGGAAGTACAACAGCAACCCGCTAGTGCTGGCAAATGCACGGACGCTGAAGATGTGCGTGGACAGCAAACTGACCGAGGAGGACAAGCAACATGCCATGAGCGCCGTGGTGAGTCCAGTCCGGCTGGCCTGGCCAGGGGACAGCTCCCCCAAGGCCAAGAAGATGAAGGACCTCCTGACCCAGGAGGCAGAGGATGTGGGTGCATCTCAGGGAGACCCATTGCAGCCTCAGAGCTCTGTGTGGCCCCTCCCAGTTGCTGTCCCAATGGCTGTCCCTCCTCCTCATCCCACTACAACTCTGCCCCCCTACTCAGCCCCTCCATCACATACATGAGCCCATCTCCCGAGTTCCCTGGCTGCTTCCCTAACCCCTCCCATACCCCAGCCACCTCCACAAACCCCGTGTTCCCAGAGGGCCAAGTGTGGGCTCCCCAAGGCCCCTGCTGTCCTCCCAGCCTGGTTGTGCCTTCATGGGATGGACAGGGACAATGGCTGCTGCAGCTGCGGGTGTCCCAGAGGCAGAGCAGGCAGCAGGCTGGGGTCAGGTACCCCTGGAGCCCTGCCAGCCCCTCTTCTTCCTGTCTATCCCAGCTGCACCCACTTCTCCATCCCCTTGTGGGGAGCCCCTTGCTTCTTGTGCTGCAAGGAGGGCGTCTGCCAAGAGCTTCCCTGGAACCCCCGCCACAGGAGGGACTCTGCCTTAACCTGCGCAGAGCCAGGCACCTCACCTGGAGCAGGGCCTCTGACCTGTCCCTGACAGTGAATGCTCTGTGTATGCGCACTGCGGTGTCCCTGACCCCAGCCCCACCTGCCTTCCTGTCTTCTCTCTGCAGAACAAAATCTACTCCAGCGTTCTTTGCTAAGGGAGCTCTCCCGGGGGTGCACTGCCTGAGAAGTTGGCATCCCATTGAGGCGCAGGCTTGATTCCCAGCTGCTCCACTTTCAATCCAGTTTCCTGTGTGGGAAAGCAGAGGAAGATGACTTGAGTGCCTGGACCCCTGTATCTGCACTGGAGTCCAGGAAGAAGCTGCTATTTTCTGGCTTCGGTCTGATCCATCCCTGGCTCTTGTGGCCATTGGAGGGGCGAACCAGCAGTTGGAAGATCTTTGTCTTTCCATTCTTCAATCCCTCTCTATGAAAATAAATGAATAAATAAATATGTGCTGGAGAAAACCCAACTACAAGTGGAGTAGCCTGGCCAGTTGTTCCTGGAAGGCTGGAGTGTAATTGCTCAGTGTGGGTGTGTCTGAAGGGCTTGGGGCAGCAGGGCCCACCAAGGCGACCGCCAGTGGCGGTGGATCCTACGCTGTCAACTGCTCCTCGTGCATGGGGCGGGTGTGGGTGAGGGCACTGTGCCATGGACGGGCCCATGGGTACCACATGTCAGCTAGCAGAGTGTCACTCCTGGGCCACCCTAGGAGTTGGCAGTACTGAGCTGAATGTGGCTCAGAGGGGCGGCGACGGCACAGGACCCCACAGCTCCAGAGCAGCGGAACCTATTGTCCTGTCTCCCACGGGGGACACAGGCTTGGCCCCTTGCCGTGTGGCTGTGTGGCCATGTGGCTGCATGACTGCGCTCAGGCCGCGTCCTGCTCTGGGCCTCTGGTGGGATTCTGAGAAGGGCTGAGGATTCCTTGTGCCCAGTGGCTACTGGCAGTAGGAGGACAAAGGTTCACGTACAAGGCACGTGCCTGGCAGGGTCCCAAACTCTCCTCTTATGCCCGGATGAGCCCTAATTGTGGGCTCGGCTGTCACTCCGCAAACTTAGCTTGCATCAGCTCCCATGAGGATGTGTGGCACAGGGAGCCTGGTTATTGCCTGGCCTGGCCCTGTTGTCTCGAATCCCTGCCAGCCTGGCAGTGCTCTCTGGGCCTCACCCTGCTCCCTGTCCTCCTCAGTAACAACCCCCCGAGGGCTGCTCTGTCGGGTCCAGGGCACAGGGCTCTCCCTGGGGGCTTTTCTGACCCCTAAGCCGCTGCCTCTCTCCCTGTGGATGGATAGAGTGTGTTCACCCGCTTCCTGGTGCTCCCACACCACTCCGGAGCCACTGGCATGCACAGAGAGAAGAGCTAGTGTTGTGTGTAGTGCCCACAATGTTCCCTGTCACAGGGCCTGGTCCTCCTCCCCGCTGCTTTGCTCCCAATCCTGGCTCCCTGCTCATGCAGCAGGTGGTGGCTCCAGGCCCTGGGTCCTGTCACCCACGTGGGAGACGCAGACGCGGTTCTGGATTCCTAGCTTTGGCCTGGCCCAGTCCTGGTCTCCTTCCAGGGAGATGAGCTTTCATCCCACCCCAGGGCACCACCCTTCTCTGCTCTGCTCCACTCTGATGAAACTCCACCTGTTAAAGGTGCCAATGTATCTGCTTTTGGCACAAGAACTTTGGGGGACACAAACCGCGGCCCAACAGGGCTCCTGGGGTAAGCGGAGACCTGGCTATCTGTACCCCCTAAGGCTGTCTCCCCAGGATCCAGAGGGAGCTGCTTCGGGAATGGGTGGCTCAGGCCTCTGTCAGAGCAGAGGGGAGCACAGGGCTTGGAGGGTGCTGTGGGAAGAGACCCTGGGGGTGTATCCCCTCACTCCCTGTTCTACAGGTTGGAATGTCAGTAAGCAGAGAGAATGCAGTGAAGACCAGATGTCAGTCATTTGCTGTGTAACGGAATGTGCAGATGGAAGCATTTCTTAGCCACAGCAGGTGATTGGGCTAACGGCTCTGCAGGCTGTGAAGTCCAAAGTCAAAGGGTCCTATGCGGCAAGGGTCTTCATGTTGCCTCCGTAACACAGTGGAAAGCATCTGATTGCAGAGCGGGGAGAGGGCAAAGGAGCTTGCTGTGATACCACACTCATTCTTGCAATCATGAGTCCACTCTAAAGGGTTGCCTGCCTGCACATTGTTTTTATTTTATTTTATTTAAATCAATTTATTTTGCACACTGTTGCAATGGAGATCACACTTCCTGTGTTGGAATTCAGGCAGACGCATTCAAGCTACAGCACCAAGGCGAGGCTGCCCTACGGGAGCAAGGGAAGCAGCCTCTGCAACTGCCATTGACCTGGGAAGTGTGTGTGTTTCTCCGTGCCAGAGAGGCAAGTTCAGTCTTCCACAGGGATCCAAGCAATAAAGCCCTCTGGTGTAAAAGTCACGAGCGTATGGCTGCTCTGGTGTCAGCCAGTCAACTTTCCAAAGGCTTCACATGGGGGCTGGTACCTCAGTGTAGCAGGCAAAGCTTCTCCTGCAGAGCTGGCATCCCGTATGAGCTCTAGTTCAAGTCTCAGCTGTTCCACTTCCCATCCAGCTCCCTGCTAATGCGCCTGGGAAAGCAGCAGACATTGGCCCAAGTGCTACTCACATGGGAGACCGGAAGAAGCTCCAGACTCCTGGTTTCAGATTGACTGAATGGAAGATCTTTCTCTCTCTCTCTCTCTGTTTCCCCTCTCTCTAAATCTGACTTTTCAATAAAAACATGTTTTTACTGAATTTGTTTCTTGATTAATTTTAATCATTTTTAAAAAGCTTCAGATGGACCAATTTAAAAAAAGATTTATTTATTTTTATTACAAAGTAATATATACAGAGGAGGAGAGACAGAGAGGAAGATTTTCCGTCCGATGACTCACTCCCCAAGTGAGCACAACGGCCGATGCTATGCCAATCCGAAGGTGGGAACCAGGAATCTCTTCCGGGTCTCCCACGCGGGTGCAGGGTCCCAAGGCTTTGGGCCGTCCTCGACTGCTTTCCCAGGCCACAAGCAGGGAGCTGGATGGGAAGTGGAGTTGCCAGGATTAGAACCGGTGTCCATATGGGATCCCGGCGCTTTCAAGGTGAGGACTTTAGCCGCTAGGCCACACTGCCGGGCCCTGGACCAAACAATTTTAAAGTAACCGAGTAACAGAATGAAACTTAAGAACACATGCAGAAACACTGAACTATTTGGCACCTAAGAAATGAAATGTTGTGACCTTTGCCTTACAAAAATTCATTACTAGGCAAGAAAAGAAGTGGAGAGTCAGGACCTGCCGTTGGAAGAATCGGTTAGTATGAACAGATCAGAAACAACTCCTGACTTGAGCTTCCTGTCGGTGCAGAGCAGGGCACAAGACACTGGGCTCAAGACACTGGGCTGCTGCCCTCAGCCCGGGAGGCTGAGCTGGGCTTCCAGGTGGCCTGCTGGGAGCCATCGGGCGGCGACCCGTGTAGGAGCGTCTTCCCTCGCTGTCTCATGGTTTCCATCCGGGTCTGCCCATCTCTGTATTTCTGACTCCTAAGTAAATGGACAAATAAGGAAATACCCTCCATTCCATGCCCCTTGTTACTGCTCCGGTGCTGCGTGTCCAGGGGTTCAGGGGTCCAGGTTAGTGGTGCCAAGCAATCCCTAGAGCTGTTGGACCCAACGCTGCTGCCAGCCTGGGCTTCCACGCCTTCCACGGCAGGTCGCTGCCTTTTCTTTCTCTCTTTTTCTTTCTTTCTTTCTTTCTTTCTTTCTTTCTTTCTTTCTTTCTTTCTTTCTTTCTTTCTTTCTTTCTTCCTTCCTTCCTTCCTTCCTTCCTTCCTTCCTTCCTTCCTTCCTTCCTTTCTTTCTTTCTTTCTTTCTTTCTTTCTTCTTTTACATTTATTTTTAAATCTAAAAGTCAGTTATGGAGAGGAAAGGAGGGATAGAGAGAGATGTTCCATCTGCTGGTTCACTCCCTAAAAACTTCAATGGTCAGAGCTGGGCCAATCTGAAGCCAAGAGCCAGGAGCCTCCTCTGGGTTCTCCCAGGTACGGGCAGGGTCCCAGGCTTTGGACCATCCTCGACTGCTTTCCCAGGCCACAGGCATGGAGCTGGACGGGAGGTGGAGCTGGTCTTGTCTTACAATTTATATGTTATGGGGTAATTTTAGGTGTTATGTCTGGATTTGTGAATGAATCTGATGGATTCAATGAATGTTGTATCCTTACCGTGGGCCAGGGGTATGCAGCTATATCATGTTGGGTGGGAACAGAATTATTTTGCTGTTTTATAAAGACTCAGTCATCCAAAGAGACAAGCGTCTCAGCTTCTGTTTCTTTGTGAGGCGTGCCAATCAGAATTACAGCCTTTTCCTACTGGTGCAATAATATGTTTTGCCAGTAGAGGGGGTAGGAGACACACTAAAGCAGAATGGAGGCAGGAATTTCTTTTTATTACATTGCATTATGTGACACCGTTTTTTAGGCACTGGACTCCCCCTACCTCTCCCCTATTTTTTTTTTTTTAAGATTTATTTATTTTTATTACAAAGTCAGATATACACAGAGGAGGAGAGACAGAGAGGAAGATCTTCCATCCGATGATTCACTCCCTAAGTGACTGCAACGACCAATGCTGCGTTGATCCGAAGCCAGGAGCCAGGAACTTCATCCAGGTCTCCCATGTGGCTGCAGGGTCCCAGGCCACTTTCCCAGGCCACAAGCAGGGAGCTGAATCGGAAGTGGAGCTGCTGAGATGAGAACCAGTGCCCATATGGGATCCCGGCATGTTCAAGGTGAGGACTTTAGCCACTAGGCCACGGCGCCGGGCCCAGGAATTTCTTGTTCTTAAAAGATGTATTATTTATTTGAACGTCAAAGTTACAGAGACAAATAGAAAGAGATAGTCCAGCCACTAGTTCATTCCCCAAATGGCTGAGTGACTAGGCTGGCCAGGTCAATGCCAGGAGCCAGACGCTTCATCTGGGTCTCCCACATGGGTGCAGGGGCCCAAGGACTTGTGCCATCCTCAGCTGTTTTTTCAAGTACATCAGCAGGGAGCTGGATCTTGAACTGGTGCCTATGGGACGCTGGCATTGCAGGTAGCAGCTTAACCCATGACACGGTGATGCCAGACCCGGGGAATATTTCTTTCTGTTGCCACGGCCAGCGGGGATGTGAGAGACCCAGATGTCTTCACCTTCCAGCAGGTTTTGATGTCAACCTTGGGTGGTTTCTGGCTCAACAGCCAGCTTGTAAGTATCTGAAAAAAGTTTCTTTCGACTCCTGAGGCTTGGCTGTGGCATGCAGTGTAACCTGTACCACCCAGCAAGCTGCAATACTCTGACTTTAGTGGTTCTCTGGAGTTTTCTATGATCTAG